TCTTTCTTTCTTTCTTTCTTTCTTTCTTTCTTTCTTTCTTTCTTTCTCTATTACGGATTAGAAGCAACAATGGAAGATTTAAGTGAACCTACCAGTAGACAATTGAGGTTTAGAAGGACAAAGTCTAGCTTAGCACCAAGTTGGCATAGTAGAATTTGAGGAGTCATGGAAAACCAGTCCAGGGTCTAGTTTCTACCTGCCATTATGGAAAATGGCAACTTGCCCGGCTGATTCTTCAACTGAAAAATTAAGAGAAACCCAAGCCTTGTATGATCTCTGAGGCATTCTTAAGAACTAAAAGTCACTTGAATTGTACTTACCTGCTATTTATTCTCTCCAGGAAAAAATAAACAACCTGATAATCAATAGAGGATTAAATAACCCTCCCATGTAGAGAGTCTGACAAATAGATGGCAGCAAAGGAGAGAGAGGAAGTAATCTACAAAAAGCAGAAGGAAAGAGATTCTAAATCTAGGGAGTGAAATAAGGAAATAGAATTATTGTAACAAATGAGTTAAATATGTCAAATATGACCAATGATAATACATATATTAAATAAATATAATATTTCAATAGAAGTACACCACTAAATAGTAGCTGAAGAATAATGCAAATAGTAAACACTAAAAAGTGTTTACTAAATGCCACAAGTAAGCAAAGACGTGAAATTAACAAACTGAATGTTTACCATCCAGAACGATTTCCTATAAAGTCTGATGCTGAAACCGCAATGGAACTAGGATAGCCATATATCATGGTGACAGTAAAAACTTATGCAATCCTTTTGAAAAATCGCAATCCATAAAAACATTCATGCTCTTTGGTCTGGTAATCTCCCTCCTGAGAACTTGTACTAGAGAGAGAATTACAAATAAGAAAAAAAGCCACGAACAGGAACATATTCAAAGCACAGAAAAACTAAGCTACCTGAGTAGCCAACAACAAGGAAATATTTAATAAGATATAATCTACAGGTGGAAGGGATTTTATGTAACTATTGAAGTAATAAATGTGAAAGACTACATGATCCTGGAGAAAGTTTACAATAGGAGGATTATACTTATTTGTTTGTTTTGAGCCAAGATCTCACTATGTAGCCTAAGATGGCTTCAAACTTATGACCCTCTTACCTCAACTACCAGCTCTTGGGATTATAGGCATATATCACCATACCTTAAATACCCTAAAAAAAACCACACTTTTAAAAGGTATATATACTGTGGTTACACTTCTATAATACATGAGTCCAAACCAAGAAAACATATAGTATGAAAAATGGGAATATGGGTTTGAAATAGGTGAGTATTTTCTCTTCACATTTCCTTTCAGTGTTGTCACAATGAGATTGGTTAGAATGTTGTTTTTATATTTTTCATAAAAACAAACCTGCAAAATAGTGGGGTTGTGGTAGTGGTGCATGCCTTTAATCCCAGCACTTGGGAGGCAGAGGCAGGAGGATCTCTAATTCAAGGCTAGCTTGCTCTACAAAGTGAGACCAGGACAGCCAAGGCTACACAGAGAAACCCTGTCTCAAAACACACAAACAAATAAACTATAAAAGATAGGCAGTAGAGTCAACTGAAGTAGAGAGGTCAAAGAGGGATAAGAGTAGAGAAAATGGCATTGAAGTTCTTGCCAAAGAAGCCATTTGTGTTCTGAGTTCAGAAGAGTGAGAGGAGTTCAGATATGGAATGTTCATAGTGATTCTGTAAGTGGAGTCTATAGCAGTAGTAGAATGAAGAGAGACTTACAGATGGTAGCAAGATGAGAAAGCAAAGTTAAGGCAGTGCTTATGTCTTTTCTATGTGATGGTATAAAATCAGTGATGGAACTAACTGACAAAGATGAAGAGAAAGAAAGAAAGGAACAAGATCTGCCATTCAGGGACCATGAAGAAGGACATGATGAAGACAAGGCAGGACATCTAAGCAGATATTAATGAAGCATAGAGAAGTTGAGACGTTTACCCAGCCTGGTGGCATATGTCTTTAATCCCAGCACTCTATAAGCAAAAAGACACGTGGATTTCTATGAGTTCAAGTCCATCCAGGTCTCTGAAGCTAGTTTGAGGCTAGATAGAGGTACACAGTGAGAGCCTGGGGAAAGACGGGAAAAGATAAAGTAGCAGAATATGAATGAAGTCCAGGAGGTTAGTCTTGACTAAGCAGCTTGGCGTTATGGCTTAACAATGGAGGATCTTGAATGAGTTATAAGGAAGAGAATAATTTTACTGTGTGGGGCCGATGGGTAGGAGAAGTGACAGGCAAGAGAGCTGTGGTCATAAGAGTGGGAACACGGTAAGAATAAAAAAGGCCAGTTAATTTACTCCTAACAGAAGAACTCTTGTGTTCCAAGGGAGAGATCCCTTTAAAGACCAGAAAGGAGGACAGAGGGGCAGTAAGGTTAAGTTGTTTTACTCTACAGTCTAGTGTCTTGCTTCCCTACTCTCCAGAGCCAGAGAGAACAATGAGAAGCCAATAGGAATTTGGTTTCAGTAGATGAGTAAGAGGTCAGAAAAGTCAGCAAACACTGGCATCTGACTCAGAAGGCCAATAGGCTATGAGGTGATTTCATGGGAAAAGAAGATGAAAAGAGATTTCTCTTCTCATGAATGCCCGCTCAGAAACTCTTACTGTTCAGGTTCAAGGGATAGCTTCCCCAGCTCCATACACCCATCAGATCCTCCAAGGCCATAAGTGCTGTGGTAAGAGGACTGATCAGGTAGAAAACTGATTGCTCCACCCTGGCCTTGAAGTCCTATAGCCTGATTCAAAAAGAGCTGGTGACAGGTTTATCTTTTATCTAACTAGAGCTGGAGAAAGGGGAGAGACCAGTTCTTGGCAACTATTCATGTCACCACCCTATCCTGCACAAACCTGCTCTGCTCTTCGCTACTAGAACTTGGAACCATGGACTTTACAGGTTTTCTTCCTTCTCAGTCAGAGCTGTCCATTCCTTCTTTCATTAAGCACATGGGAGCTATCAAATATGTTCTCAGCAGTCAGAGAGGTGGATCTAGTCTCATTCCTGTTTCCAAAGCTGCTATCAACCTAGACCCTGCTGCCTGAGGCTTCTTGGGGTCACCGCTCAAGCCTAGTACTCTGCTTTGTGGCTGTTCAGCAGTTTAACCGCACCAGGCTTCTAGCTGGCATGTGAGGCTTTGCCAGGCAGGCTACCAGGGCTTGAACCCTATTTCAGCACCTTGGCAGGTAAGGCTATCCTGTCTTTGAGAGGAAGCCAGGAAGTGGGTGTGGATGCTACATATGGCATATACGGCATCTACTAGCATTTCAGCTTCCTGATTCTGGTTTACTCTATTATATACACTAGGCCAGTCTTGAGATCACCCCATTTCTTCACACCTCTAGTTGAATTCTCTACTCTGGTTCAAGAAGTAAAAAGGGCATAGAGCACCAAGGAAATGTTCCAGGCTCCAGAAACAGGATTGTTTTCTGTTGGCCCCAGAAAGGGACAGAAAAAGAGAAAAAAGTAGAGGTAGAGGAGTAACTATTCCAATCTTTGGCTAAAAAGAGGGCAGCTGATGCCCTTATCAAGGGTCACCAGTAATCAACTCTCTCCCCTCTGTCCCTTCCTTTCACAACCAGTGCCCAGGGTTATAATCTGTCTTCCCTATAGGCAGGGAAGATACTGTCTTGGTGGGTGTCTGCCCACCTGTTGCTGCTTTCCTCATGTAGGGTCACCAATGCCAGGGAGGAGGCAGTTATTCGGCGCTGGGGTGCACTACCTCTGCACAGTCGCTGGAGCTGGTGTCGATATTTGTCTCCGGTGAACAAATAGAGCAATGGATCCAGACAGCTATTAGCACTGGCCAGGGGCCGAGTCACTTTGTAAACCACATTGACAATGTTCAGGATCTGGCAGTCAGCTTTCAACAGCCTTGCCAGGTAATAAATTGTGCGGGTGATGTGAAAAGGCACAAAGCAGACAGCAAAGACAGTCATCACTACAGCGATGGTGCGAAGAGAACGGAGCCGAGAAGATGATTGTCCAGCTCCTGGCAAAGGTCGATACAGTCGCAGGGCCATGAGTCCATAGCAGACCAGAGTGACCAAGAAGGGTAAGCCAAAGAGCAGCACCATAACTGCTGAACTGAAGTGCACATAGTGGTCAAACTCCTCTGGCCGAGTAGTGTCATGGCACAGGATGGTGGTCCCATTGGGGCTGGTTGTCACAAAGAACAGGTTGGGCACGAGGCAGCCAGCTACCACCAACCAAACACCTAGGCAAAGAAGGCCTGCAAATCGAGGGCGCCCCCAGCGTAGCGCCCGCAGTGGGTGGCAGATGCCCAGGTAGCGGTGCACACTGATGCAGGTGAGGAAAAGGACACTGCAGTAGAGGTTCCAATAGAAGAGAAAGCGGACAAACTTGCAGAAGCCGGTGCCAAAGGGCCAGTGGTTCCTGGCAGCGTAGTAGTAGACAAGGGTGGGCAGTGACAGCACGTACAGAGTGTCTGACAATGCCAGATGGAACATGTAAGTGGCTGTTGCATCCCAGGGTCGAAAGCGGAAGAGGAACATCCAGAGGGTTGGGGCATTGAGGGCCAGGCCCAGCACGAAGACAATAGCATAGCTCACAGGCAACAGGATGAACTTGAACTCCTCATTAAACCTACAATCACCATCTCCAGAACTTGGGCTGGGGCCTAGTGATGTGAATAGCAAGGAGTCTGCACTGGTCATGGCCCCCTAGAGATAGAAAGGACAAAAGTGAGTGTCTGATTTCCCTAGTTTTCCAGTCCTGATGAACCTACAACAAAAGAGCAAAAGCACCCAGGAGAGCTAGGAAGAGCAAGTCCAAGTGCAACCCAAGGCTATTCAGCCCCTACTCAGCTCCCTTAGCCCAACGCCTACCCAGCTCCATTAGCCCAGCCCTTACCCAGCTCCTACCCAGCTCTCTTAGTCCAGCCGAGGGACTGATGGGCATTAGGTAGTGCTCGGGCTCAGGTACGCAGTCAGTGGTGTTCTGCACCACTCTGTCTTCCAGAGCCTGGATAGCTGAGGAGGGTGCAGGCTAACCAGCAGGATCTAAAGAGAAGATACCCAGGCTCAAATTGTCATCTGACTCACCATGACAACTCCTGTCCTGCTGATGAGGGCCTCTCCCCCTCTCCTCTCAACTGGTCCTAGTTCTCCGAGCTGTTATTTTCCCCTGAAGCCACCCCACTTCACACCTGCTTCCAGCCCAAGAGCACCACCACCACCGCTCTTGCCTAGGAACCTTGGCAAGACTCCTACCCAGTTCCCTTGAAGCTGAGCCCAGCTGAATCTGTCACCCTTCCTCTTGGCAGCCAGAGGGCCTATGCTTGGGGGTGGGACTCAGGGTGGGGCCTAGCCCTCCTCCTGTCCCGTCCCAGCAGATTGCCAGAGCTAGAAAAACCCTTGGAGGTTATCTAGTCCAACCCACTCAGCACACCGATTGGGAAACTGGGACCCAGCAAGATTACTGTTTAACAGCTTCAAAATAATTGTGTACACAAGGAGACATCTAGGTTTACAGATAAAGAGGCAGGCCACTGGAGATAATTAAATTACAGGACGATCATATAAGTTTATGAGCATAGAAACATGGGAAATGAATTTTAATGTGGACAACAGCAAGTCAACACACTGAAGGACTTTTGAAAATGTAAATTACTGATAATCATCTTAACCCTGTGCACACTTAATTATATAAAATGTTGATCTAGTCCTTTCTCTGTGCTAGGCACTGTTCTAAGGACTTTATACCTATTGATGGTACCACAAGCTTTCTACCAAACAGGTTCTATTACTGTCCCTACTTTACTGATGAGAAAATTAAGGTATAGAGAGTTTGAGTATTTTGATGATTCATGGTGAAATCAATATTTGAACCCAAACCAGCCTGCAATGGACCAAACTCTAATATCCACGATAACTTGATCCTCCAAGCAACTGGCTCAGATCCAGGAAAGGGTCAACATTTCCCAGGAGCTTTCAGTTCTAGGCCCTGGTAGTTCACTAGGGCCTAGATTAAAAACTTCCAGCTTAATAGAATTCACATAATAATGGAGGTAATAATAAATCAATAAAATATTGAGTATGATTATTGTTATAAGAAAAATAAGGGTGATAATAAAGAAAGTATGCTGTTTTGAATATGGGAGTGACTTGAATAAAGAGCAGGTATTTTGAGAGGGACCAGATCTTGAAAGCGCTTGCAAGCCAGTGAATGTAAGGCCTTTACTGAGTGGAAGAAAGCCATAAAGTGTTTTGAGAAGAGAAGCATCCTGGCACCTCTGTTCTGAGACAAGATAGCAGGATTAGTAGCACAGTAAGAGGCTACTAACAATGAAGATGATGGTCATGGGGACCAGGGTGACAAAGGTAACAAGAAGTCATCATATTCTGGGTAGACTGTGAAAGTTGAGACACAATTTACTGTGGGATACGATAGGAAAAGGGAAGTCAAGAGTGGTTACAATTGCAGGGACATGCCTATAATGTCAGTACTTGGGATCAGAAGGATGAGGAATAAGGATTGTTCCAAGTTCAAGGCTAGCCTGTGTCACATACTAAAACTATGTCAAAATTTTTTTGATTCCAGATTTCTTGCCTGGGCAACTAGAAGAAAAGAACTACTATTGACAGGTTCAAGGAAGGCTAGAAGAAAGCACATTTAGGAAAAGAAGGAAAGTTCCTATTCTAGAAAATATGTTTTAAGAAGCCTATGACACACTTAAGGAACAGGCAGCCAGGAAGCAGTTCATATCTCCCTGTAGATGCTAGCCAATAAGGTACTCTTATACATCCCACCCCTTCCTACACAGCAATTTGTCTCTCTCCATCACTCCTAGAGAACCTGGTCTTAATACAGTAGGGAAGGCATACAGAGCGAGTCTTCCACTATTAAAAGTCTAATGTCAGAGAACAGTTGTCAGCAGCTGTGGATCTGAGGCTTCTGGAACTGAACGGAGGGGCTTTGTAAGTATCACTGTCTCTGGCATATGAGGCAAATTGGATCTGGAGGATGCTGTGGGTAAGATGAGCAGCAGTACTTGTCGGGGGGGATGAGCAGGCTGGAGCAGAATCTTGAAGTGGAGCTGGAAAGCAATGAAGACTCAGAACCTGATCCTCAGGTCCTGAGAATGTGACGTAACTGCATTGTGGAAGGGAGAGGACAAGGTAGGCCCACGGAGCAGACTCTAGAATCCAGCATGGAGATCTCTTGGAAGGTCTACAACCCTGGCTTGGGGATAGGGCACCTGGGGACCCAACCCTGTTTCAGAGTTGAATCAGGAATAACCTGAGTCCTGGGCTACCGACTTCTGGGATGTGGTATAAAAAGCCCAAGTGTGAGGGCTGGAGAGATGGCTCAGAGATTAAGAGCACTTGCTGTTCTTCCAAAGATCCTGACTTCAATTCCCGGCAACCACATGGTGACTCCAGCCATCTATAATGAGATCTGGTGCCCTCTTTCTGGCACCAGGCACACATGCAGGCAGAATACTATATACTGTATATATACTAAATAAATAAATCTTTTAAAAATGCCCAAGTGTTTGGAGCCAGGTGAGCTTGAGTTCAAATTCTTGTTCGGCTTATTAACTTTATAACCCCAGGCACCTATTTGTGACAATTTCCTCAAGAGAGAAATGAAACAGTAATATCAAAATATAGGTATCAGAATATGATTGATCAGTAGGTGTACAAACACTTTGTAAGTCATAAAATGCTGCAAATCGGTAATGTTTTCCTTCGCATTGTTCTGTTCCCAAGGATAAATTTGGCCTCTTCAGGGAAGGTGAAGTGTGTCTCGAGAACTGGTGTAGGCTCAAGTCATGGAGAAGTGCCACATTAGAAAAGACCTGACATGAGCCAGCTTCCTGCTTTACTGCTTCAAACTGGTTTAAGTAGAGGGGTTCCCCTGACTTCAGTACAAGCAGGTTTCTGCTTGTTCCTGGACACAGCTGCAGTAGCAGCTTCTGCCGCCACTGCCGCCCAGTGGCTACTTTAGGAAAAGACCTCCCTCAACATTCCTAATGGAAGCCCCAGTTTCCACCTCCCTGAGGAAACAAATCATCACAGAGCAGACTCCTTCCCATCTCTGAATTGCTTCTTCACTTTGGTCTCTGTGGCTTGCGTTACGTGGCTTCTGCTATTCCGCTAGATACTTCTGACTTTCTGTGCCCCCCCCCACTCCTTTTTCTCATCCTTCTCTACCAAATGTGGTCCTTTCCCAAAGCAGGCTCCCCTCCCTTCCACTGCCCTTCTTTTTCTCTTCTTCCCTTCCTCCATTGCCTCTTTCTCACTTTCCCCTGTCCGGCTCTCCTCAGAAAATTAACCTCGTAATTTTAACTGTCATTTAGTTTTTTCTCGATAATTTCTTTTGGTTTTGAGACAAGATCTTGCAAGGGTTTGCTTTAAATTCATGATGTGCTGCTCCACCTCCGTAGTGCTGTGTTACAATTATGTACCACCACACCTGGAAGGTGTTATCAGTAATTCCAATAACAAAGAGATTCCAGCATAGTTCTCTCTGTCTCTGGCTCTATCTCTGGCTCTCTCTTGCTCACTAGCTCACCCCCCCCTCTCAAATTCTCAAGTTTCTTTCTCAGAGCTGGAGAGAAAGCCCAGTATTTAAGAGCACTTGTTGCTCTTACAGAGGACCTGAGTTTGAGTCCTAGCACCCACCTGTAATTCCAGCTCCAAAGGATATGACAATTTTTTTTCTGGCCTCTGTGGGCACCTACACTCAGGTGTGTGTGTGGTGTACACACACATAATTAAAAATAAATATCTAAAAATACTTCTCTCGTGCTTTCAAAGCATTTTGTTTTCATAGAAATTATGGAGCACATCATGTATTTCCTATAATTATACTCATTTGTTTTTACTCATCTCCTTCTGGTCTTCTGACCCCTAAGCTAGATCCAAGGCTCCTGTCCTCACAGCCTTTCTGTAAAGTTATGGTCTAGAAAACAGCCTTCCAAATGAGGTAGGTGATTGTCCAAAATTGCCTTCCAGTCCAGAATTAAGAAATCAGGTATCTTAAGTACCTGCACATATAAGTATTCAATGAATGCTTAGTGAGTGAAGGAATGAATGAAAGTTGTGATTTTTCAAGTCGAATGGTTTCTACATCTATAGCCTACCCCTGTATAAGTGGTTTGTGGTAAATTATTTTCACATGGTATTTGCTATCAATCAGTACTTATCTTAATACATAAAGAAATGTTTCCATACCATTACTGGTGATAACCATTCCATTCTACTACTCCATTTTCCCCCAGTCCTCTCTTTCCTGGTCCCTCACATGTAATATTCATAAATATATTGGTGGTAATTTCTCTAAAATGTCTGTTGTTTACTTGGGGACTAGAGTAGAAAATGGGGGAAAGGTGTGTTTTCTAATCTTTAAATTAGGATAGGGGGGAAGGAAGAGAAGAAAGGAGGGAGGGAAGAAAGAAGAAAAGAAGCAAGGAAGGAAAAAAGGAAGGAAGAAAATGAACGGAAGGTAACAATATAGTTGAAAAATATAAAGGCAGATAGTTCTAAGGTTGAATTCTAGCTTCGTAACCTATCAGCTGCATGACTGTGAATAAGCTTCCCTGGACCTCCATTTCCTCACTTATGCTGTCAGGATACTAGTATCTGGAGTGTTAAGAGGAGAAAATCAGACAATACACATAAGAACTAGCATAGTATCTGGCTGGTGTCATCCACATCATTGTTAGTAGGTGTATTTTGGAGGCTATATTTTGAATGTTTTCCTTAAGTAGTGAAAAAAATGAGGTCACCTGAAAGTTAAACCTTGATGGAGAAAAACAGTAGTTGGAACCCTGGATAATCCAAATTTAGTAAGGAAATCAAACAGAGGTGACTGGCTCCCTACAGTTAAACATAAAGTTAGCTTTGCTTATGTGTTTTCTCTCTAGTGGGCCTTTAAGAAAATTGGGGAGTAGGATTTCTAAAACGGGCTCTTACCCTTCATCCCAGCTTGGCCTCTAACTCACTAAGGAGCCCATGCTGGTCTTGAATTCGGCAGTCCTCCTACCCCAGCCTCTGACGGGCTAGCATTGCAGGCATGTCCCACCACGCCCAGCTTAGTATGCCTCTCTTATCTTTTTAAATATAATCATGGAGGTAGTTCCCAGTGGCCGATCCATCCATCCCCTTTCCATCCTCCCCACTGAGCCAAGGCCCTTGTTCACATCCCACTCAAATCTGGTGATTTGGAAAGAATGTTAAGAGCCAGAGAAAGGTGGGGGAGCGGTATGGAACACTGAGTTCCAAGCCTGGCATGGCTGTTATAATCCTGGACTCACTGGAGCTATAATTACCTGTCTAAGATCTGCACAGAACTGGGCTCATGTACACCCCCCATTATCAAAGGGAGAGGAGCTCATGAGGCCCCACCCTCCCCCTGAGGATTTATGTGTAGCTAATGGCTCGTGGCAGTGTTACTGCTGGTAAGATGCCCTTGCTCCTGTAAACAAAGTCTAACTCATGCTCCAGTTAACAACCCTAATTTCACTGGGTCATAGAAAACAGACATGAAAATATAAAGGGGACTAGTTGAAAAGAGGAGAAAGAGGACAAGAAAGAGTAATTAAAGGTGAACATGGTCAAAATACATTATGTTCATGTCTGGAAATGTAATGAAATCTACTATTGTGTATAAGTAATACATGCTAAAAAGATATTTTAAAATCTGTTGATTTTCTTTCAGTTACAATAACAGAAAATTTCAGCTAACTTAAAAAAAATGTATATTAGCTTTCATTTAATCCAGGAGCGGATTCAACAGTTCAGTAATGTCACACAAATCTAGATTCTTACCATCTTTCTGATCTGCAACCCTCAGCATGTTATTAGAAATGCTCAGGGTCACAAGGGGATTATGGCACTCTGGGCATTGCATCCAAACTTGGCACTATTCAGTGAGAAGAGAGGAAGGCTTCTCTTCCTGTGTATTTATTTTTATCACTCAGGAAACCTTTTTCAGAATCTCCCCAGCATATTTCCTCTCATATCTCAGTGGCCTGAATTTCATCATGCCTAGCTAACCCAGTCGCTTTCAAGGAGATGAAACAACTCTAACTGATTTATTAAGAGGAGCACCGGAGGAGGGTAGATACCTCTAAAAATAGTGACTCTGTCTACAGAGATGGGAAGAAGGCTATTGAGTTGGTGAGCAACCCTGTCTGTACAATCCTTACCAAATAAGCCACCCCTTCCTCATACAGAGATGCAGCTAGCACATCCCAACTGGATGGTCTAGTAGGGATATTACTCAGGTGGGCAGAGTGGGAGTGAAAAGGACCTGAAAGTATTGCTGCAAGAGTCTATCAGAGATATGTTCCTTTGCTCTCTTACCCCTTTATCCTTGAAAAATGCTGGTACTCTGGGTCAAATGAAAAGATAGTGATAGTTCTCTTTGGGAAACTGCTAATAGGAAAGGGGCACAAGGGAGCTTGTGGGGGAGGGATGTGGGTGTATACAGGAGTGTGAGTTTCAGATACTGTAACCAATTATCACAGGCTTGACTGAAGACAGTACATGCTAGTGCTCTTACAAATCCAGAGGCCAGAAGTCTGAAATCAGCATCAATGGGCTAAAACTAAGGTGTTGGCAGGACTTTAACTTAAACTGCAAGAGTCACTTTGCAACCTGAGTCTATTGAGAATCCATTCCCTTGCTTTTTCAGCTTGCAGCACTGGCTTCTTCCTTAGTCTTCAGAGCCAGCAGTGATAGCATCTTGCTATCTTCATTGCCTGTCTCTATAGTCAAATCTAGTTTTTGGTTGTTTTTTAGGCAAGGTCTCACTGGGTAACCCTGACTGGCCTGGTACTCACTTTGTAACCAGGCTGGCCTCAAACTCACAGAGATCCATCTGCTTCTGCCTCACATGTGTTAGGATTAAAGGTGTGTGTCATCACAGCCAGCTTGCCTCTCTTTCATAATTAGACTGGTGACTCCATTTGGGCCCACTCAGATAATCCAGAATAACCTCTCTATTTTAAGACCCCTAATGACATCTGCAAAATCCCTTTCAGTGTGTAAGGCAATGTCTATAGGCTTCAAGGATGATGACCTGCTCTTTAGGGGTCAAAATTCAGCCCATCATAGTAAGAATTCACTGAAGTATACTCAAGATGTTTGCATCATACTGGGCACAGTGGCATACGCCTGTAATCTCAGAACTGTCAAAGTTAAGGCAGTTGTGAGTTCCAGGACAGCCTGAGCTACACAATGAGACTCTGTCTCAAAAAAAAAAAAAATCCTGTGCATTTTACCATCTAAAAATTACATCACAGCTCCAAATTACAAATACTCAGAAAAGAAAGAGACAATGATTTCAGTTAAATCAAAGTAAGGATTTAAACAACAAGGTCTCTTTTCTTCCTACTAGGGGGACTACAACCTGACTTGAAAGAGGAGGTGAGCACCTAAAAGGAAGAGTGTGAGTCTGTTGAAAATAAAGCCAAGATAGACTGAGTCTGTTTTTTGTTTGTTTGTTTGTTTGTTTAATCTTTCCTATAGTCACCAACCTTAACAAGTTTCTGGCTGTTTCCCACATGCCAAAGCTTAGTTTCCATCTCACTATAGTCCCCAGTAGGATCTGAGGTTCTCTAGTTACCTGGAAACACCCATGAAAGACTCAGCGAAATGAACTGAGAAGGTCCTGAGGTGCATACTCACACGAATGTGACACACGAGTGGCACTGGCAGAGTCAGTCAGATTGCAAGGGAATACAAGGGATTCTCTCCAGCTGTCAGCAGAAGATGTTGGAATCTGCAGGGCACTTGCTGGATTTCCAGCTTCTTCTGACCTAAAGTTGGACCAATGACATCTGGTTAGTGGTAGTAACAGAGACTGCTTATTAAGAAAGAGAACATTTCCAGTCAAGGAAGTGAACCAGAGAACTGAAAGCTCAATGGCACTGGCCAAGAAGAGTTGTGACTTTTTATAGATCATTAATATAACATGCCTTTTCCAGCATATGTATTTTAGGGACTTTTCTCACATGGATGCTCTGTCCCATACATGTAACTTTTGCTTTTGAGTTCTAGTCCTTTTCTTTGTCATTAGCTTATTTCATATGCTAAGTTTTGAGACAGGGTCTTTCTATGTAGCCCTAGCTGCCCTGGAACTCACAGAGGTCCCCTGCCACTACCTCCCAAGTACTGGGATTAGAGGCATGTGCCATCACACCCAGCCATATGTTAATCTTGATACTTCTATCTCTACATTACACAGGGCTCCAAGTGAGGTGAAGGAAGACTTAGCTCAGCCAGCCTTCTTAGACTGAGGACTAGAAAGCCCATATCAGGAGCTAAAGACTGTGGATATAAGTAAATACTGAAGACCACCCTGAGAGGAGGAGAAGAAAGATCTGAGTCCTGGATCCTCAGACTGTGGAGTTTCTGCTTCTACCTGCTTCAAGCCTAAAAAGGTGGGACCAAGGCCCCGTGAGAAAAACAAGAAATAGAGATAACTTTGTTGCTACTGTTTTGGAGGTCCTGGCAGCTGCAAGGACAGAAATATCTCTAATTCCATGAGTGGTAACCCAAGGTAAGGAAAGCTGCTTAGAGCATGGAACTCATTTCAGGGATTAAAAAGACTGGACAGTGAGAGGTGGGGAAGTTATTCCAGGTCTGGGTTTTACAGAAGTCGATTGTCTATTCTCTGTAAGCATAATGTTCTGCTAGTCTAGCAGAGAAGGATACTTTCTTCTCTGATAAGAAAGAAATTCAAGGATCTCTGTTCCTACTTCATCACCTACAGTGCTGTGCACTGGAGCTTAGATAATTAAAGTTTCTGGTCTGTTTTAAGAGTCCAAAGTCCCAAGTGGGGGAACTTGGAGAAAAGTTATTCTTTCCAGTACTCTTGGCTTTCCTGTGGCCTGGAAAAGATGAAAGATACAGAGGCTGGAATGTGGCACAAGTTGCTCAGACAAACCATGGTCCACACTGTGAACCCTCCTCTTTTTACACTTCACTATGCTTCACCTTTAAGAATTTCAACTTGGTTTTGATCCCAGCCCTCATGTACAAGGCTTCACAAGTCCAAACTCACCAATTTCCTTCTTAAATGCCCCTACCTGTAATTGTTAGGTCTCAACCCCAGGGCAACTGGCTGAGGTGGCTATTTAACATATCAAAGCAGATTTGACCTTCAGGTTCTCCCAGCATCCCTCAGTCCTTACCTGCTACAGAGTAGGGTTAGCATATCCCATCACTAACCTGAACTCTCCAGTCCAGGGCCTGGGTTGTTCTCCCCTCTGAGGTTCTTCCTTATATAACCTAGCTATTTTGGCTATATGGTTCTTTTTACCTTTTTGGTCCTTTCAGCCTCTTGGTCTCCTGGCTCCCTCCCCTCCAAACACACACACACACCACCTGGCTCAGGGTCAGGTTCACTCTGGACCCCTCCAGATACCTCTGGCTATGTTCTCTCTCTTAGCTACAATAAACCTTCTCCTTCATAGTCATGTCCTTATTATTCCTTTTTTTTTCATTCAGTAACATCATCAGAAACCCCTAGCCCCAGCCTACCTCCTCAGTAACAACCAGCCGTTCCCACAGCCACTGATCTGTACTCACTAATCTGTTTTCCAAACTCTTGGCCCCTGAGCTAATTATAGCAGTGTTTCAATGCCACCCACCCCAACCCTATTCTTGTTCTCTGACTCCCACCAATCTACACATTCAGAGGACTGAGGATATAAGAGGCTGGGAGGCAAGCTTAGCAACCAGAGCTGGAGGCTGATGTTAGCTTCAGTCTCTTTCCTCAGGTAATATTCTAAAGCTCCTTGCTTCTAGCCTATACTAACCCCACTTCCCATGCCTTTAGCATCTCCTTTAGGGGAAGGAGAGGAGAATCTTTTGTGATGAAAGCAATGGGTTTTCAGGTTAATGTAACTTCTAGAACTCACTACTCCCAAATCATCCCTCTGACCAGGCCTACTATGTATTGAAGGAAAGCACCAAAACGACATTCTCCTCTTTATGGGTCCCCAGCAGCTAAAGAGATGAGTGGGGATACAGTGGAAATTTTTGAGGAAAGAAATAAGAGAGATGCTGAGTAAAGGCAAGGAAGGCTTTTAGTCTCCACAGAGGCCTCTGTCACCAACACCAAGAAAGTGAGAGCAGCAACCCCCTCTCTCCTACATCATCCCCCATCCCTTCCTTTCCCCTTTTCTTCCTTCTCAGTTCAAAGTCAAAAACATTCCAATTCAGGGTCAAGTCTATTACGGGGACAACATGATATTTAATTGATCCATTTATTCATTCATATGGCTAACAAATTGTGTGCTGGGTTATGCTCAGTATCAGTGCAGCCCAAGAAACACATTTTAAAGGAATGGAGTGGAATCAATAAATAGAAAATAAATAGAAAGGGTTTAAAAAAATAAGGTGGGGAACAATCAAGGAAGACACTGGACATCCCTTTGGCTTTAACACATATGCAAATGTGCATGCATGTGTACACGTACCCGCATCCTACCCCCGACACACAGAGAGACAGAGAGATAGAAACAGAGATTGATTTGTGGAAAATAGGGAAGGGGGTGTTTTTTTCCTTGTCTAGTTGTGTGTGTAAGAGGTGCCCTAAGAAGGGGGAAGAACAGAAAGCAATGGGTGCTGGTGTGATATCTAAGAAAGTAAATTCTGATTACACTAGGTGCATCTCTGTGGGATAATGGATTGCAATAAGGAAAATAGGGGTTAAATAACTGAGTTTTTCTCCCTTCCCTCATCTCAGGAAATAGTCAACATAAATTTCTTGGCCAGCATGTCCACATAAGAATTCCTTCTAATGCTCTGGATCTGTGAATTGTTCCTTATCCAAACCTGAGTATTTGCCTTTGGGACAGAAGGCATTATAGCTTTGGGCCCTACTCCAATTATCTCTGTCTTTGCTCTATCTCGTGCTCTTGGGACCTCTTCTAATCCTAAGAATCTTTCATGTTTCCCAAATGTCCCTGTCTTTTCTTTTCTCTCTTCTTTCCTGCCCTGCCAACCCTTCTTCCTCTTTCTGATTCTTCACCCCATAGAGTGTTTAAGAAAACTAGCTCCAATGGGAAGGTAAGAGAGCCTGGCCCACCTGGGCAAATGAAAGGCCGAAAGGGATAAGTGGGGACATTGTTCAAGATCTCAGTGGACTGGGCTCTGGGGTTCAGGATGATTCATTCAAAGATAACTGTGACACTGATAGAACAAGTTGTCCCACAACATTTTTCCCTCTCCCTGGGGAAACAGACTTCATGGATGATGTGGACACTGTGGAGGCCACTGGTTAGTGAGTCCAAAGTGGGAAAGAGCCTGAGAAGGGAGTGGGAGCCAGGAAGTACAAAAAAGGCCAGGCATGACCATGCAGAACAACGAAGCCAATTGAAAGGTAGAATCATTTCAGGAATCAATTTTTTTGTTTCACTCACACTCAAGGTTTTTCTGACTAGGGTGCCATCCCTCCCTTTCTGTGCAGATGGAGTAATCCTTGTTGACCCTGAATACTTAAAAAGTCTAATGAGTAAGTAGAAATTTTTACTGGTTTTTGTAAAGCTGCAGGAGTCCCAGTTGAAATGCCAGGAATGTAAGATAGGCAATCTGAATGAGTGGTCTTGACCAGAGGGGCTTGAAAAAAAAAAAAAAACCCAAAAAACAAAAACGAAAGGCAGCAGAAACTGTGAATGCTTTGTTTGCCAGGTCCTGACAACAGGGAAGTTCGGCCCAATATGGCCATATTTCTTCAGTTATTAAAAGAATTGAAAGCAGAGCTCAGAGTAAGCACTTTAAAGGTACCAAATCTCAAAGGATTCTTTTTTAGTCTTTCCCCAAATAGTATTCAAAATAACTATATTTCTAAAGAACATATAAATTATACTCTTTAAAACTATACACAACAGGAAAAATTAAAAAATATACATAACAAGCATAAGTGTTAAAATTAAAATAATGTCTTAATAAAATTTCTGGTTTTTCCCATTATTGGCATGGTGGTTCTGCTTGACTGCTGGTTTCAATTTAGGCTTAGACTGCCTACAGAGTGAACCAATACACAGAAAATTTCATATATTTACCTAAATTTCTTGACTTTCAAATGTTAACAACTGACTGAAAGATTTTTAAAGACCTGTATAGAGCAAAATATTACTTTTTTTTCTGTAGCGTAAGCATCCCTCAGGCTTCTATTCTGAAAGTTCTGATATGTCATTTGATTGTTTTTTGTTTGTTTGATTATTTGTTTGGTGTATGTGTGTGTGTATGTGGAGAAACTGCCTAAACATTTTTTAACAAAAATTTCAAAGAAATAATAACCACAGGCAGTAACAGCAGGAGACAACACTCCTGGCAGCAGAGCTCTAGTTCAAGATTGCACTGAAATATTTTCCACTGTATTTTTCCCTTTTAATTCTCACTATGGATTAACCCCACTGTGATCCTGAACTGAAAATTGAATTCAACTGGAAAAAAAAGATTCAGAACCAGTTGGTGACTACTAGTCCAGAAATAGCCTTTAGATACTGAGGAATAAAAGAGCCTTCATCTCTGAGATTAAGCGGCATGGATAAGCAATCTGGCCAATTTCAAATGTCAGAGAAACTTTTAAGTATAGGCACAAATTAGCTAACTAATTTATAAGTAACAAATATTCTGTTTCTAAAATCTAAAAGCCTTTATCCTTTCACTCCTAAAAATGCCCAGAATAACCTATGGAAGGAAATATTTACTTTTAATAATTGCATGTTGCTTGCCATGATGGCTAACATCAGCTCCCAGCATCCAGGAGGTGGAGGCAGGAAGCAAGGTACAAGTTCAAGGCCAGATTATATATATATAAAATCTTTCAAAAATTACATATTTACTCATCAATTAGATATACTTTTCTTTGAATTTTCAGTATCTTTAGTAAACCTTTACATTACTATTCATATAAATCATACATATTTCTGAAATTTACTCCCAGTTGTATGTGTTGTTACTTTAAGATCATCTTATTTTCATCTCTTTTTCTCATATCCTTCTTCATCAAAGGTGGATGTGTTATTGTAAAGTAATGTGTTTTATGTCACTGAGTGGTAAAGGCAAGTGAGGCAAAAGACGTGGGGGTTGGAACACATTACTGTTTAACAATGCTCTATCTGCCCTCCCTCTGTGTTATTCCTTACAACTGCATATGAATGAACAGTGATTACAAAAATTAAAAAGTTTAATTTCAGAGAGAAAATGAGAGACATGTTATAAGCACCTAAGATGACCTTTTGTTCAGTTACAGCAACAAAACAATTTGGAATGCATCACAGCAGATAACATTGCAGTTATCTCTGAAATATGATATTGTGGCAGAGCTTTGAATTCTTTTTCTGATTATACTCTCTAATATTCCTAAATTTGTATGTATGTGCTTATATAATTAAAACAAAAATAGACAAATTTAGAGTAGATGTTGACTTTTAAAAGAAAATAAAAGCAAGCTACCAGGCCTGATAATATAGGTCTGTAATCCCAGATACCTGGGCAAGTGGGGGCTCAGGCAAGAGGATCACAAACAAGTTCAAGTCCAGACTAGGCAATTTAATGAGATCTTGTCTCAAGATAAAAAATAACAAGAAAGCTAAATGGTGGGGTACTTACCTATTGTGTATGAGATACTGAGAGTTTGAGGCCAGTCTGGACTACATAGTGAGTTCCAGGCCAGTGAGAGCTACATAGAAAGACCTGTCTCAAAAAAAAAAAAAAAAAAAAAGCCAAAGCCATAGGCTGGATCCCTATAATCACCAGTCAGAAGAAGGGTAAGGGGGCAAATAAAAGAGATAAGAAATGAAACAGTAAATGGTCTAGTGGTGTTTGAGGTGAGGATGTCAACCACATGAACTGTTCCTGGCAAACGTTGCTGTGAGTGTCTAACCCAGGCAGCAGAAACAGCACAGTCCCTCAGTCCTGCCTAAGCTCCGATTCGACCTCATCAATTTAGCATCGTCTCTTTCCTCTGCTATGAAACAACATTCTTGTGACAGCCAAGAGGGGAGAAAAACAAAAGCAAGAAACTGGGAAGGAAAGTGTTGTCTAACAGCACTGGTTCTGTGGGAGTGGGAAGCCTAGCATTTCAAGAGAGCTATTCTCTTAGGAGGCAGGGGCGGCTGGATGTCTGTGAGTTCGAGGCCCACACAGATGAAGAGACTGTAATCCTATTACTCTTAACCACATTTCTGTTTTCATTTACTAATGGTTTTGTGCAAATGCATCCTTTTTTATTTAAATGCTATACTATAAACATTTTAGAATTTTCTTTTATGCCTACGTTAATACATAAAAATCCGCAACTTTTGAAGTTCCTTAGTACTGTCTTTTCCAGGTATGCAATACACATTTATAGTTTACCATAATTGCATTTACAATCTAAAATTGTTGGATATTTCCTTTGTCTTCATGATTTTGCTGTTATAAACAGCTCTGTAAAGCATCCCCACCCTCACCCTTGCTTGTACCTAAATTATCTATCTCTTTAGGCTAAATTCCCAGAGAGTTCTATCTATTGTTTAATGTTCCCCAAAAAGTTTCTAACAATTTTTCTGGGGTTTTTTTTGTTCTTTTTTGAGAAAGGGTCTTATTGTGGAACCAAGGCTGTCCTGAAATCCATGCTGGCCTCAAACTCATGATCATTCTGCCTCAGTCACCCAAGTGCTGTAATAACAACGGCATGTACATGCCAGTATGGCCAGCTAAATTTGTTGGCTAATACTCCAGACTTATAAAAACATTAGTGTTATCATTACTTTTAGGCTTTTTTATATCTTCAAATATATATTCATTTTCCTCAATCCTAATTTTAAATGTAGATAATCTTGTGATTAATGTATTGACTTTCCTTTTGTTGAGACATACTCTCACTCCCAGACTACTTCCTCCAAAGCCCTGGGATTACAAATATATGTTACAATGCCAGATTTGATGTTTTGTATTTTTAATTTTATTTATTTAGTGATAAGGCCCTATTCTATAGCCAGCCCCAGGTGACCTGGAACTTGATGTGTAGACCAGGCTGGCCTAAAACTCACAGAGATCCACCTATTTTGCCTTCTAAGTGCTGAAATTAAAGGTACTCTGCCCAAAATTTTAAAAAGTCTTCGACACTTTCATATATTCTTCCTAGCTATTTCCCTTCTACTTTAGTCTGATTTCTATTTTAGTGTATGGGGCAGTTATGGATTGTATGCAACATACGTAATGAATTATTTTCTATTTGTGCAAGTTCTCTGTTTTAAGACCCCTGATAGACTTAAGGACATCTTTGCTCTTCACAGTCCCTTGATTTTTATCCCTGTCACTTTAGTTTCAGAGTATCCCTGCTTAGCTCACCCGACATTCTACTTGTATATTCCAGGGGCTTTCTGTCGACCCCTAATTTTAGGTAACAACTGCAAAGTATGAGTTCAACTATAACTGTTTCTTTTTTGTCAAGATTTCTATCATCCTCCTCATCATCATCAATCAGCCAATCAATCATTCATGTCTATAGATGTTGCCAAAGAAAATTCTCTTGGTTTGTTTGTTAAAGACAGGGTCCCACTTAAACTCACTTTGTACCTTAGGTTAGTCATGAAGTCCTGATCCTCCTGCCTCCACCTCCCAGGTGCTGCAATTACAGATAAACACCACATTAGGCACCAAAGAAAAATTTTTATGCAATAACCCTTTATAACCATCCTCTGAGTGAAGTTTGATCCAAATGATTCTAGACTTTGGAGTCTAGACCTGAAGGAGTTGAAATCCAGATCCTGACTGGGGATGTAGCTTAGTTGACAGAGCGTTTTTCTAGCATGCATCAAGTTCTAGGTTTGCTGCTCAGCACTGCCAGGCATAGTGGCATATACTCAGGAGCCTAAGGCAACCCTGGCTACATGACACTCTGTGTCAAAAATAAAAATATTCATAAACAGAAGAAAAGGAATCCCGAACCATTACTTAACTTCTTTACGGAAGGACGGATATGGTATAAACAATATAGTTACGGTCACAGAAGTGCCATTTGTGTAGTGAGAGTATGAATGTGTTATAAGTATGTGGTGGTACTATATGCATGTGAGTGTGCAGGTATGCATGCCTGTGCACATGCTGAGGCCAGAGGAGACCTCCAGGTGTCTTCCTCTATAACTCTCCACTGTATGAGATGAGGATTTCTCCATGAACTAAGCCCACCATTTTAGATAGGCAGTGAACATCTGGAATCTGTCTGTCCCTTCCCCCCATGCTAGAATTAGAAGTACATGCAGCCATGTCCAGCTTTTTAAGAAGGTTCTAAAGAGTCTAACTCAATCCTCATGTTTGTATAGCAAGCGCTCTTACCCACTGAGCCATCTCCTCAGCTCCAGTCCTATTCTTGACAGGTATACTAACGGGTCTAGGGAAGCCAAAGGATTTGTATAAGTCCTACTAAAGGACAGGTGTCTTGACCCTAAATCTTTTTTGAAATGTTGTTGCTAAATATCATGTGTTTGTATGTGCACACATGTGGATAATATACTTGTGTCAATGCAGATGTGTGCTCTGCCATTGTCTGTGGCTGGAGGTCAAAGAACAACTTTAGAATGTCAGTTCTTTTCTTTCATCTAATGGAGGCAAGATTGCTCTTGTTTCTGCCACTCTGTCTAGCTAACCTGTGAATTTCTGGCCAATTCTGCCTCTGCTTCCCATCTCACCTTATAAATGCAGGGATTACAGATGCAAGCCACTACTTAGAGCATTTTGAGGGTTCTGGGGATTGAAATAAAGTCATCTAGCTTGTGCAACAAGCACTGTTACCCACTGAGCTATCTTGCTGGTACCTGACACTAATATTTGTTAATTCTTTTAAACTATTAGATATTTCAGGCATAATATATATATAATATATATATATAATATCTACTACCTAGCACTGAAAAGATTTTGTCACACACAGTTTTAATCTTCATATAAATGTAACAGTGCACATTTAATTCTGGTGCTCGGATTTTTTTTAGTCACTGTTTCTTTTTTGAGATTAATTATGTTAATCTATTTCTTAGTTGATTCATGCTGTTACACCTAAATACCCAAGACTCAGTAATATATAAGGAAAAGAAATTTACTTTCTCACCATTCAGTAGCCTTGCAAATACAAGTTCAAATAACTAGCATGTTCAAGGCACTGTTAAGTCTGCCCCCTGCATACAAAATTGTTCCTTATTGCTGGGCCCTCTAGAGGGGAGGAATGTTGTATCCTTAAGTGGCAGAAGGTAAACAAGGGAAAAGAGATGAATGCTATATAAAGCTTCTCTAATAAGGGCCTTAACCCCATTCATAAGTGAAGATGAGGAAAGATTCAAGTTTACTGGCTATTAACCAGTTTTCCAAAGTGGTTATTTATGTTGCTCCCACCAGCCATACATTTGAACTCCAGCTGAGCTACATCATCATGATGATGTATTAGAGCCAGCGCTGTCTGGCTCTAATATTTTTGACAGTCTGATCTGGATGAAATGATATCCCACTGTGGCTTTAACTTGAATGTATCTGATTACTATTGAGATTACACAGATCATTGTCTATCATCTTGTGTTTCTGCTAATAATCCATCTCCATTCTTTGCACAAACTCACACACATACAGATATAGATATGTATATATATACATATATATTACTTATAACAGTCATTTCGTTCATGTGTGTGTAGGTATGTGTAGGTATAGGCCAGAGGTCAATCCTCAAGAGGCACTATGTACTGTATTTCTGAGCCTGGATCTCTCAATGTCACTGATTAGGCTAGGCTGGGTGGCCAGTGAGCCCAAGGGATCCACCTGTCTCCACCTAGCAGCACTGGGATTGAAAGACTGTACCATCACTTCCCACATTTTCACATGGGATCAATTCCAACTCGTCATGCTTTCACGGCAAATTCTTTTCCAACTGGACTATCGCCTCAGCCTCCCAAAGCTTGTTATATTCTAAATGCCAACCTGTTATATGTGTTTCAAATATTTTAACTCTGAATTTCCCTTTTTCTTTGTGACACTTTTAACACAGAGATGTTCAAAATTGTACCGCAATTAAATGTATGGATTCTTTTCTTTGTGACTGGACTTTTGGGACCATATTAGATTGTCTCTTTGGATCTTCCTATCACCCACTTAACAAAGACCATTCACAGTTTCTTTTTGTCATCTCAGCCCCTACAACTCCAGACCTGGATGGACAGGGAGGTTGGTGACACCCCTCCCCCATATCCTATTCCTTACCTTAGAAGCCCTCTGATACCCCCTTTTTGTACTAATGTCTTGACTTGGATAGGCAGAGACACGAACTAGAGCAACAGATGTTTTTAAGGGAATGGGAATTTTAGATTTAGGTTTGGGCATCCTCTCTCCAACCTTGTCATAGGGTCCTCCTGCTTCAGGTTCACTACCATGGAGAAGCTGTTTCTGCCTGTGTTTCTATCAACAACAGGACCAACAAGGTCATCAAAAGAATCAAGATTGCAGGTGACCTTGCTGCTCTGCAAACGACCTTCAAACCACAGGTTCTAAACCACAACTGTGCTTCTTACACATTTACACTTATCTTAGTTTTCCTTACAAAACAGATCTATCAAAATACGTGATCCCATTTTACTGCATATGTATAAAATCACATCAAAGGGCAGTAAGCTGGGGTCATGAGGGTAAATGGCTGATTAGTCATGTACTTTCCCTGGCTTTTTCAGTTGTCCAGACCACAGATGTTGTTCTGTATTCACTAGACAAGTACACGAAGTCTGTGCTCATTCAGGAGTTCATATGAGCTGGTGCTGGGGTGAAGGTCAAGGGGTGAGATGGTGAGAAGGCAGAGAAGCAGTTTTGGAAAAGAAGTAGTAGCAGGGAGAACCTAGAAATGAGGACTGTCAGCGTGAGGGTGGAAGTATAAAAAGGAGGGAACTCTCTGGAGAAGTAAGGTGGGGGTGTGACTCATAGGAAGACTACCACAATGCTAGGACAGGGATTTCCCATCACAGCTAATTCTTCCCATTCTTCATAGATATGGCACCTCTCTTTAGATTGTCCACTGGTTTTTGAGACTGTGCTAGATACTCTTGGGAGTAAAAGTTGAGAAGAATAGCCTAAAGTTCTTCTCTTGTTCTCTTTCAAAGAGAGACAGTAGCAGCTAACTCCAGCTTCTCCCAGACCTTTGAAGTAACCCCACTCCTGGCTTCCAGAAGTGGGACCTGGCATTGGATGGCAAATGCAAGCATGAAAACACCAATCTGCCCTCTAGCACAATGTAAGCTTAAATGTAATTTACAACCTCTGCTCCCCACCCCACATGCTCTGAGGTTTCATCCTCAGTCAAGCCTACTTGTCTTTTAAAATGTCCCTCAGCCAGTGTTCAGTATGCTCTCAAGCCTCAGAGCCAGCCTCAAGCTAAATTAATGCCCATGGGACCAATGTTAAACCTAGGTTTTAGGTAATGAGAAAGAAAAATGCAGAGAACAGAGAATCTTTGCTGCATAAAATTTCACAGTTCATTCCAGTCATGAGGGTGAATGCTTGTGATCCTAGCACTTGGTCAGCACAGAAGCAGGAAAATCACACGTTTGAGGCCTTCCTAGGTTATACAGTAAGACCCTGTAACAAACATGATACAAACAGGGCTGCTGCAATGTCTCAACAAGTAAAGACATCTGCTGCTAAGCTGACTGCTTGAGTTTAATCCCCAGGACCCACACCGGGAAGGAAATAATTCTTGTTGTCCTCTGCCCTCCACATGTTTACCATGGCACCTCCACCTCCACAAATATACAGGGGCACAAAAATAGATAAATAAAAATGTAATGATAATACAATAATTAGAAACAAGGCACAATTCACAAAGGCCTTGTATCTTACTATTGTCCTCCTAAGAATATTGCTGAGTAGTGATGGTACATGCTTTAATCCTAGCACTTGGGAGGCAGAGGCAGGTGGATCTCCATGAGTTCAAGGCCAGACTGCTCTACAGAGAGAGTTCCTGGATATCCAGGGCTACACAGAGAAACCTTGTCTTGAAAAACCAAAATAATAATAATAATAATAACAACAACAATGAAAGAGTACTATTAAAGTACACTGGCCAGGTGGTTGGGTTTGTTGTTGTTGTTTCTCAGGTACAAAGGATGAGCTCAGGGCTTTACATCCCCAATCCTGGTGAGGTATGTCATTCCATTCTACACATAAAGTCTCTAAGGCTCAAAGACAAGAGATTTGTTCAAGGTTGCATAATTATGAGGCAGACAGGATTCTAGTATATGCCATCTGGTTCTAAACACTGTAATCTCTACAATAGTTATTATCTAGAGAAGATCGAATAGAGTGAAAGGCTAGAAGATGAGAAATGGTGGAAAAAGAGAGTGAAAAATGAGAATTATATGACTGGAGTTGATAAAATTCTTCGATGGCATTTATTTGGTGCTATGCCTTCAGATTAGCATTAAATGTGTTGCTCACCAAAACCACTTGTATACCATCTATAATCATAAATGCCTAATTCTCCCCATGCCTTATCATTCAAGTGTCTACAGGTTGTTGTTCATAGAAATAACCTTAGAAATTATCCAAAGAGCATTATTTTGAATAGAAAGAATCAGCACCCTAAAGCAACCAAAAGACTACCTCAAGAGCCTTACAGCTTTTGGCATCTTATTTTTGAACCAGCAGGCTTCTACTGAGCACCTAGTAAATGCTCATTCCTATGCAATACAAAGGATATATACAAAGAAATTTAAGACAGTCTTTGCATTCAGTTAATACATGGCCTCCATGAGGAACAAAGAGGAATGCAAATGTAATCCAACAGTTAAGTGTTAGTGCATGTGGTTCATATTATGAGTCCAATAGAAGTTAAAAGCCAACATAGCTTACAAAGGATTCTTAAAGGAGATAGAATGATCTATATCTTTAAGAATGTATAAAAGCTGGATACTAATAGTAGAAGAAAGGAACATTTCAGACTGGAAATATGGCATGGGAAGAAGCTAGAAGCTGTAATCCCACATGGCATTTTGAGAAGCAGAACAGGCAGACAGGCTGTGTTCTAGGTGTTTGGCAGGTAAGGCAGAAATGAGAGAAGTAGATGAGGCTACATTGCTTTGGCTCCTGAAAATCAAGCAGAGTAGCTGTATACAACAAATTAGACCCTCAAACAGACTGTAACATGGTCAAATGGAATTTTGGGAAGAAAAATCTCTCAGTTGGGTATAAGCAATTATAGCCTGGGATATTGGGTATAAGCAATTATAGCCTGGGATATCTTTTGAGAAAAGACAAAGGCAAAGAGCATGGTAATAGGAAAGCATAGGAAGAATTTGGGGGAGACTAGTTACTATTTGGGGTATCATTTTTTTTTTATTCACAGTATCCTAGAAGTTCTGTCAGCCAGGTGAGAAGCTAGGGTCAGAGCACTGAGGCAAGATGGGGAGGAAGAGGACATCAGGAGACCAAGTCCTCAGAAAAATCTGAGGGTCTCACAGGACTGGAAAAACTTAAGGAAGGTTGGTGACTGGGCCCTTTAAGGACATCAGTAACTCCACCTTGAAATACTTGCAGTGCTGTTGGTGTGGAACTGCCCCTCATCTTGATCCATCCAAAGCCATCTCATGGTGAGAGAGCAGGTGAGACTCCCAGGAACTATCATCCTGTGGGTTGCAGGCCAAGCAGTTCTCAGAAAAGAGTGGCTTAAGATGGCATGACAATACGCAAGTTGGATGTCTAGGTTTTGGGGGGACATATAAGGGAGGGGAAGGCCTAGGACAAAAAGGAGGGAAAAGGGCAAAACAAATGTCATGGAACTACAGAGTCATTTATGAGCCACAGTTCCATTTTCTGTCCCTCTCCATGCTTGCCACAGTGGCTACCAGTTATTAGGTTTGGAAGCTCCCAACCCCAACTCCCTTGCCTATTGCTCTAATTTATGATGGGATTTTTAAAAAGCTTCCCCAAGGTGTTGCTTTCAAGACTGTGCACTTGAAACACGGTTTAGCTTCATGTCACAATCTGGTGCTTTTCACAGCTCTCGTTCCCCTGCCTGCCTCCCTGCCCTTCGCCTGCTGCTCTTCTTGGAATTGGTCTTCCTCCTTATCCCTTCCATTTTTCTTTTTGTCTTTTCTTGCCTCCAAAAACCCATTATGTTGCTAAGCTGTCCTTATGATCCCTTACCCCCTGGCAAAACTGGGTTGGTTTTATTTGTTGATTTTTAAGCTGCTGATTTGGGAGTCCATTGCTTCCACATCATCCTCAGCTTCTTTTTCTAATCCTTTCCCTCTTCTCCACCCACAACTGTTTCCCTTCTAACACTCCTGGGGGCACTGTTGTCTAGACAGATTGAGAAGGGAAATAAGCCCTCTACATGGGTGGTGGAGGGGAAGGCTGAGGAGCAAAGAAGGGATGACCTCCCTAGAATTAATAATGTGGAGGAAGCCCAGGAAGGGGTTTGCTAACTGCATTCCTCTGGTGCTCCTGCAGGCTGGGAGGACATCGTGACTGAGGAGTGCACACAACAGAACAGACAGGCACAGAGCTAGAAGACCCCAGCAGCAGACAGTGTTCAGAGTTACTGATATCCTCCTATCTCTGATAGTCCTGTGTGGGACTCACTACAACACTATGATAAATTGTTTTGTCCAGACACGGCCGGTGTCCCTGTGCTATTTTTTTTTCCCTCTTGGGGTGTACTGGAACCATAGACAATGATCTGTCTGATTCAGGCACTTGCACCACTCCCCAACTCTTACTTAAAAGCTTGATTGGATTACCTCTATTCAATACTTTACCTCTTTGTGATCCCAGACTTCCCTCTGACAAGTCATTTGCCTTTTCTCTCTAGCCTCAGCTACCCCAATCTCCACCTGTATCTCTTACTCTTGTAATCACCTTTTGGCCTAGCAGTAGGTGCTTACACTGTAAGAAACCCCAGAGAGGAAGTCAAAGGGGCGTGGTCACTCCCAGGCGGGGCTGTGAGAACAACTGTCACCACTTGTAACTGGAGAAGAGCATGATGTGATATCAGGTGGTAGAGGCCCAAGTGCAAACACCGTTGTTACAGCATCTCTGCCTGCCTAGTTCAAGAAATGTTTTTGGTCCTTCTAAGCGAGGCCAGGAGCCCTGGAATGAGGTCAAAGGCCTTGGCCTGAAGACCAAATAGGAAACAAAAATGCCAATCTCTATGCAAATCCAGACTCATCTTTCTGGTCTGGGATGGGCTTTGAGATAAGAAGTTGTAATTATGGGATGAGATAAGATGGGATGAGATGTCTACTTCTAGGCTGAATACATTTTGCTGGGCAATTCTGGTGTGCGTTGGCAGAGGAGGTGCCTTAGACTCTGAAGAAGGGACAATAGTTGGCCTTTGAAAGAGAAGTAGGCCCTCATCTTGTTCTCTCTCTTCCACTGCTTCTGGTGTCTATCCTGTTTGCCATTCTGAATGAGATTTAAGCAGGGAGCCTACTATAAAAGGTCCTCTGAAAGGCTCCACCAAACAGGGGATTGAAGCAGATGCTGAGACTCACAGCCAAACTGTGCAGTCTTATGAAAGAAGGGGGGTGGTGGACATGGAGGGGACAGGAGCCCCACAAAGCTAAAAACACTAAGCCCAGGCAGTCCTACAGAGACTGACATACCAACCATGGACCATGCATGGAGACTAGAACCCCTGCTCAGACACAGCCCATAGGCAGCTTAGTTTCCATGTGGGTTCTTGAGTAAGGGGAGCAGGGGCTGCCTCTGGCATGAGTGTGATTGCCTGCTCTTTGATCATTTGTCCCTGGTGATGCGGACTTGCCAGGCCACAGAGGAAGAGGATTCAGGCAGTACTGAAGGGACTTGATAAACTAGGGTTAGATGGCAGAGGAGGAGGTCTCCCCTTTTAGTGGACTAGGGGAAAAGGATTGGGGGTAAGACGGAGGAAGAAATGAGGCTGGGGAGAGTTGAAAGAGGGGGCTTCAATCGGGATACATAATGAATAAATTTTAAAAAAAAGAAAATTAAAAAAAAAGGAGACAATTATGTACTAGATGGGTGGGTAGAAAATGGCGATATGTCTCATCAATGTGGTGTGTAACATGGCTGATCTGACCATCAAATGATAAGGTTTGTTGGTTTGCAAACCTAAAGTCCAGTCCTCACACGGAGGGCCTTCTGTGCTCTGTTTACGTGGAGGAGCAGAAAGTACCAGTGTTGGATCAGAAAGTCACGGGTTCAAGGCTTCTTGTGTTCCTGGCCCTAGACCAGCATCATTACATGTAAGGATTTAACCTCATCCACTAACTATAGGTTTCCACTCTCTGGGCCTTTACTTATTGTCCTTTGCCTAGGCAAGTCTACAGAAAAGGGGACCTCAATGTGATGTTTATTGAGACCAGTGCAAAACAAAAAAACAGTTGCACTGTGCAAAACAGAACACCCATTTCTCTTTGACATATCCTTTGCAGGGTCTCTAGTTACCACCACCACTTACTTAGATAACCTTAGATTGCCTTATGAGGGTGAGGAGGAAAAGTTCACCTACCCTACCCCCATTATGCAGGTTGAAAGTGCAAAATGATCTCAGCCTCTGAACCTTAAAAAAAAATTTAAAAAAAACCTTAAAAAAAAAAAACCTTAAAAAAATATATATTCATATATATATATATATATATATATATATATATATATATATATTTATATATAGTTTCTGCCCTTCCTTCCATAAATGGCTTCACCTCCACTGCAGAAAAAAGAAAAAGGGCACATCTTTTTTTTTTTTTTCCTTAGTTTTTCTGGGGTAGGGAGTATGAAAGCAGAGAAGCAAGTTTCACTTGCTGTTAAAAGCCAGGCACATTTTTCTGCTTAGGTGGTAATGAAAAACAGAACTCTAGCTCCTAGAGTTCTAGAACTCTAGTGGCTCCTTTGTTTAAATGAAGACAATGGGGTCAGAATTTCTTGTTTTTACTAGAAGCTGTTCCTAGGAGTTGACCTTAACTCTACTATCATCCTTACTGTGAACTTTGGGGGCTGAAAACTGATTTTAGTCCTTGCAGGATCCAGGGATCAAGATCCATTTTCCCTATCCCGTAGCTTAGGTCATCTCTGCCTAATTTGGTAGACACTTTGGGTTTTTGATAGCAGCCATTCTCTCCCACTTCTAGAGTTATGGTGGTTTATTTGTTTTTGAGACAGTGGTTCTCAACCAGTTGGTCACGACACCTTGAGGGTAGAACAACCCTTTTATAGGGGTCACCTGAGACCATCAGAAAACAGGTATTTACAATTCATAGCAATAGTAAACTGTTACGTTACGAAGTAGTAACAAAAATAATTTTATGGTTAGGGGTCACCACAACATGAAGAATTGTATTAAATGGTTGTAGCATTGGAAGGGTTGAGAACCACTGCTCTATGTAGTTCTGGTTGTTTGGGAGCTCACTTTGTAGACTAGTTTGGCCTGGAATGCACAGAGATCCTCCTGCCTCTGCCTCCTAAGTGTTGGAATCAAAGACGTACACCACCACACCTGGCCTGGTTATAGTTTTAATACTGCCTTCCAACTCCTAGAGTTAAGAATAAAACAGCTCCCAGAAGTGCTGTCAGTTTCTTTTACTACATCTCAGAGCTATTGGGTGGCACAGAGCACCCTATGTTCATTACTAAGACATTTATCTATCTATATAGGATGTAGTTCTAAAATAGCTAGGGTAACTTCAAAGGCTACTAATTTTTGCTCCATTTTTATTAAAATTTGTGTAAGTATGATGATAAAAATATACCTAATATAAAAGAATCTTCAATAAATGGTGCTGGGAAAACTGGATGTCTACATGCACAAAAATGAAATTAGACCCATATCCATCATCATTTTGCACACACACACAAAAAAAAAAACCTAACTCCAAATGGAGCAAAGACCTAAACATGAAACAGTATACTACATGATATAGGTGTAGGAAATGACTTTCTGAATAAGACTCCATTTATCCCCAAATTAAGGTTAATACTTGTCAAGTTGGACTTCATAAAACTAAAAGCTTCTGTACAGCTAAATCAACAATCAACTGAGTAAAGAAACCCATCAAATGGGAGAAAAATCTTTGCCAGCTATACATCTGACAAAGAAGTAATATACAGAATATACGAACAAAGTGGGAAAAAAAAAAAACCGAACCAACCAAACAAAAATGATCCATTAAAAAAAAAATGGAACGGGGACCTGAACAAATTCTCAAAAGAAAGACTTTGGCTAAGAAATAACTCAAGAAATGTTTGTTGTGATGCATCAACCAAGGACCATGCATGGAGAGCACCTAGACTCCCTGCTCAGATGTAGCCCATAGGCAGCCCAGTCTCCATGTGGGTTCCTGAGTAAGGGGTACAGGGGCTGCCTCTGACATGGACTGTTACCCGCTCTTTGATTACTTTCACCTGGTAGTTCTGCCTTGTCAGAACACAGAGGAAGAGGATCCAGGGAGCCGTGATGAGACTTGATAAGCATACTTGTGGATGTGTGTGAGAGGCTAACCTTATGTTACTAGGTTCTCCTCTCATGTGAATCACAGGGATCAAACCCAGGCTGTCAGGCCTGGCAGCAAGTGCTTTACCTTGCTGAGAGCCTTCATTGGCCCAGACCGTTTGAAAACCTATTAACTAGGAGTTGTTGTTGCATCTCCTTTCCCAGTTTCTTGGGCATCAAGCCACCTGAATTAGTAAATGATATTTAACCTGAAATCTAACTCAGTGTGTCCTTCTACTGGGCCTTGAAGAATTTTTAGTATTTAAAACAAGAACCACATTAGTAAAATTAAAATAATGAATAACCATGAACCTTATCTTAGAGCCAGTGGTTCTCAACCTTCCTAATGCCGCAACCTTTGTGGTGACCCCAACCGTAAATTTATTTCATTGCTACTTCCTAATTTTGCTACGTTTTGAATCATAAATAACTGATACGAAGATTATCTCAGGCAATCCCTGTGAAAAGGTCATTAAGCCCCCCAAAGAGGTCATGACTCACAGGCTGAGAACTGCATTTCTAGAGCAAGCACTTTACAAGAAACTTCTATGGGTCTCTTCCTAGCTCTTCATCATAAATGTCAAAGGTGTTGCACAGGTAACCACAGCTGTGGTGTGCTCATGACTACAATAGCTATGCCATATCCAGAAGATGAAAGATAGCTCTCCTATCTATCCTCTGGCTCTGACTATTACCCCTCCCCCTTCTGGAATGTTCCCTGAAGCTCAGATGGGGTGTAAAACTTTTAAATGTTGCAAATATGAATGTTGAAATTAATAAATTATGGTGAGAAAAAAATCTCAAACGGGGGCTACAGAGAAGTCAATGTCAGTCAAGTCCTTGCTGCATAAACATGAGGACATGAATTTGAATCCCATAGTGTACTTAAAAATGGGTGCCTGGGTGCCTGTCATGGTGGCACACACCTTTAATGCCAGCACTGGGGTGGCAGAGAGAGGAGGATCCCTGGGGCTTCCTTGCCAGACAGGCTAACCAAATAAAAAAGATTCATGTTCAGTAAGACACACACTCTCCGAAAACAAAGTGGAAAGTGACTGAAGAAAGATGTCAGCTTTGGACTTTCACCTCTCTTTCTTCTGTCAAACACATACCCTGTTACCCACAGCTGGGTGCACTGGTGTATACTTGTAACCTCTAAACTTCAGAGACTGAAGCATGAAGATCTCAAGTCCAAGATCAGCTTCGACTATGGTACCAAGAACCTGTCTCAAAAAAAAAAAAAAAAAAAAAAAACAAAACTAAAAAACTTATTAACCATGGAGTCTTGAGTTTAACATTCAGTAGACTCAGCAAATAGTTTTGTGGAAATACCTAAGCTTTTCTTTCTGGGATGGCCACTGGGGGTCAGCAGAGGAAATCAGAGGATACAATTCCTAGGAAAACTTAAGCTAATTCTATCTCCAGCTCTGCTCAGAAGGTACAGTGCCAATTAACAGTGGAGCTAAGCGTTTAGCAATACCTTTAGTACAGCTGGGGTAGGACTCATGGGAAGAGCCAGTTTTTACATTTCATCCATTTGAAAATTTATTTTCTCTTGCTAATTTAATAAGGTAAATTCAGCCAGGTACAGTGGTGCATGCCTTTGATTCCAGCACTCAGGAGGCAGAGGCAGATCACTGTGATTTTGAGGCCAGCCTGGTCTACAAAGTAGGTACTGGACAGCCAAGGCTACACAGGGAAACCCTGTCCTGAAAAACCAAAATAAATACATAATTAGATAAGATAGATTCCTAGGTTGACCCTCAAACCAAAAGAATCACTTTTCCAGAGGGAATTAAGAGACTCAGTTCAGCTCCCCAGGATCCTTGTGTGCGCTTGCGTGCTAGAGGACAACAGACAACTTTGTGAATCGGTTCTCTCCTTCCATCATGTGGGTCCTGGAGATCAAACTCAGATTGTCAGGTTTGGAAGAAGGCATCCTTTCAGAGCCATCTTGATGGCTCGACGTAGGATTTTAGTTAAGTCAAATTTTGGGCTTTCATTGTAGTAGCACCTCCTTCAGAGAAAAAAAAAAAAACACAAAACCTTTAAATCCTGAATGGGTATTTTAGTATCAGTCAGTAGAGATGGCACAGGTGTGATCTGTGCAGGTATCTATGTCATACCTAGGATGACAGAAAGTTATTTGGGGGTAGGATCAGAAAAGGAGGGAGTTGGCAGTTACCACTATTCAAACTACAAGTGGGAAATTAGGAATCGATTTCCTACTGCTCCTTGTGAAAAGAAATCTATCTATGCTACTTCCTTGGCTTATGTTCCAGATCAGAGAATATGGGAAAGAATATATTAATACCATCCCTCTGCAGCAGAAAGTCTTAACAAGGTAAATTCAGCCAGGTACATAATTAGATAAGATAGATTCCTAGGTTGACCCTCAAACCAAAAGAATCACTTTTCCAGAAGGAATTAAGAGACTCAGTTCAGCTCCCCAGGATCCTTGTGTTCGCAGGGTTTCTCTTTTGTAGCCCTGGCTGTCCTTGAACTCACAAGACTCCAGGATCCTGGGGTTAGGAGCAGTTTTACCCAGGGCCCTTGACTCACCCAAGGCATCTCTTGGTTATTCTCTGGCTACTGTTCTTTAATCTCACAACTATTCTGGCCAGATATAGATAGTTGTAAACAGGTATGATGTTGCTGTTTATTCCAGTGTTTGGTTGTATTTTTTCCCTCAATGGCATCTTATATCCAAACAGTATCACTCCAGCCACATTTATTCAGTATTGTGTTTTTACTTTGGGGGAGATAAGGAGGAAGTGGCAAAAACAGTGTCTCTTTGAAGTCTCCCAAGTGTAAGGGACTCCAAAGTATATGTACAAAGACTAGATGGCATGGTCAGGAAAATCAGATGGAAGGTCCCCAAGAATGCTTTTTTCTACTGATTTCTACAAATAAAATAAGCTGTAGAAGTGACCAATCTATGGTACCTGATAAATGCCAGCTGCTTTCTACCTGGCTTTCCCCACAGGCTAGACATCATCTTTCTCATTTGTGAAACTCACCTAGCAAACTAGGGAATTCCCACTACAATACAGTTTATATATAACACAGCTGGTATGCTGTCTCCCCATCCTCCCTATTCACTAAGCCAGGAAGGTGCTGAGAGTAGAATGTCATGACTGGCTTCTCGGAGGGCTAGCCAGCTTGCCCTGGCAGATTCCACATGGAGAGTTGTGAGCTGCAAGTCTCTAGTGCACAGTCCTCTCTTTTTGGCGATGATAATCTGGGGTAAGAAAGAACATAGCACATTATTTTCAGGCTGAGTTCCCAACTTCCCATTCCCAACTTCTGGGGCTTGCCATTATCCACATTTAAAAGAATTCTAGTTACCTAAAGCCCTCCCCTGTAAATAAAAATTTAAAAAAAGAGAGAAAATAAAGTGTCTTACTGTAGGGAAAGAAGCGCACACGCATGCTGATTTCTCGTGCTGTCTTCAGGATTTCAACAGCCTGGAAGGAACACAGCAGCTTGTACAAATGAAGGGCTACTACCCGGGACAGAAACATAACACAGCAATGGAATGTGTCACTTCAAACATCTAGGTCACTGAAAGCTCCTCTCTTCTGGTACATTTCCCTTGAAGAGATGCTTTCTTCCAGGTTAGGCTAATCCTGTCCAACCTGTCCTACCTGAGATGGTTTCGTGCAGGACTAAAGCCCACACGCTGTGCTTACTTTGCTGTGCTCAATGTCTTGGAAATCCACATCGTTAACGGCTAGAACCTGGTCCCCTTCTTGAAGGCCTGCTCGATGGGCATCAGAGTCTGGAATCACCTGTTGGAAGGGGAATAATGTACGTGAGATGGAGTAATTTCAAGGAAACTGCAGGGGCAATGCAAATGTGTTATTTTCTGCGATACCACAGGGAGATAAGCAGCTTGCCAAATCAAATTTGGTCCTCTATTAGGTTTTGGTTTTTATACATTCTTTTTTTGTTTTTTTCAAGACAGGGTTTCTCTTTTGTAGCCCTGGCTGTCCTTGAACTCACAAGACCCACCTGCCTCTGCCTTTAATCCCAGTGCTGGGATTAAATAGGTGCACTACCACTCTGGATTGGCTTTATAGATTCTTATTACCTGATTTTCTTGCTTCTGCCTCTGGAGTTCTCGGATTACTGGCTTGACCCATTACACTGGGCCCAAATGCAATTTTGGGAAGGAAAGCCTGAGTTTCCATTATGTCCATTCTATGACTCTACCAGATATCCGTTTTTCAGCCATTGGGCCACCAGTGCAGTAGCTATCCACACAGCTTACTATACACACACATTCACACACAGACCTTGGATATGAAGATGCCTAGCTGTGAGGCCTTTCCTCCTCGGATGTTAAATCCCAACTGTAAGACAAGAGCACAGAATGGAAATTCAGTACAGAGCACAAACACAAGAACAGGAGCTTCACTGTACTCAGAAGAAAATGAGACACTAAGGAACTGTCATCTCAGCTTTTCTGGTCACCTACCTCCCAACCCACATCCATGCCCCAAGTACGGTCAGCTTCTGGCATAGACAAAATGTAGGCTAGAATAAAAACCTCTCTAAGTTTTACCTGAGCACCAGGAGGCTTCTTCAGTGTGACAATTCGTGGTAGAAACTGGGTCAACTCATTGTTGTAGTCTGGGTGGTACACTCTCTGCAAGACACAGCAATCTCATTCCCAGTCTTAGATGTCACATCTACCTTCTTTTAGAACATTAGTAAATCAAAAGTCAGGGAGTGGTAAAGCCACAGACTCAGTTTACATAGAACAGATCATACATACTAAATGAGTTTAGTCTCCAGACATGCTAGTAGCCCCAGAGATTCCTATTCCTTTTTCTTTCTTTCTTTCTTTCTTTCTTTCTTTCTTTCTTTCTTTCTTTCTTTCTTTCTTTCTTTAATTAACAGGATAGAAACTAAAGTTCTAAATTTTCAGAATTCACTGGTATGAAAGGCTCTGGCAGGATGATTTTACAAGAAGCTTACAATGGGTCACTATTGCTCAGAATTCACCTAAGATTCGCTCTTCATTGAGTTTCATAACTCTGCTACTTTATCTTTCACAGATCTCATGCTTGGGAGGTGGTATGTCTTATTCAGGAATGCAGAGGGTTCCCACCTCATGAGGAGGAATCCATGCTGGAGGATTCTCATAGGCAGGCAGGAACACCACTGGGTAGTCATCATAAGGAATCCGGCTGTCCATTTCAGGCAAAGCCCTGAAAAGGATGAACCAAAGCAAACAAAAATCATTTTCAAAAGGACCAAGCGCTCTAAGTTTCAGAAAGCATCCCATCCTAAACCCACATTTAGGTGTTAAGAATGGAGGGGGAGCAGGGCAGTGGCACACAGCTGTAATCCCCGCCCTCCGGGAGGCAGAGGCAGATGCATCTCTGGGAGTTCAAGGCCAGCCTAGCCTACAAAGCCAGAACAACCAATGCTATATAGAGAAATCCTGTCTTGAAAAAACAGCAACAACAACAACAACAAAAAAAAAATTGAAAGGAGAAAAAGAGGTGAGGCAAAAACAAAACAAAACTCATCAATTAAAAAACAAATTTACACCCTGACGTGGTGGTGGTGGTGGTGCACGCCTTTAATCCCAGTACTCAGGGAGGCACAGGCAGGTGGATCACTGTGAGTTCGAGACCAGCCAAGACTACACAGAGAAACCATGTCTGGGGTGGGGAGGAACACCTGGAGCGTGTGTTTCTGATTGCTGTCTCCGTGGTGCACACCTATAATCCCAGCACCCAGGAGACAGAGGCAGACGGATCTCTCTGAGTTCGAGGACAGCCTTCTCTACAAAGTAAGTCCAGGACAGCCAAGAATACACTGAGAAATCCTGTCTGAAAAATTCAACCAATCAAACAAACCCAAATTATCTACAAGCCTAGTGTCTTGTTAAGCACTAGGTATGTTCTCATTTCTCACAATTCTACAAAAATAGGTATCACCGCCTTAAACCTGGAGAGGAGGAAATTACAATCGCACTTACAAAGATAAACTTTAAAACACCATGAGAAGTCCCAACTCTAACTATCTCATAGGGCTTGGGGACAGGAACCATACAACATTTTCTAAAAGTGGCTTGGTAAAAGTGGCGTCCACGGATGGGCTCCGTCATCAAGGACTACCTTCCGGATCCAGGTCCTGCAATGCGCCTGAATTCCGCGCTCACGACCACTACACTCAGCACTACCTTACCGGCAAACAGGCCTCCTTCAGCGGCGGCTCGGCTCCCAGCCAATTCGGCTTCAGAACCGGAAGCGGATGCTCGCTAACGAGGAGCACGGGCGGTGGCACGGGCGGAGCTCGCTCTCAGCGAGCCTATTCTCAACACTTCCCAGGCGTCGCCCAGTGCGTGCTTACGTAGGCGATTCGCTCACAGGCTTTGCGCGCTCCAATTGGCTAGCGCCTCTGGGATCAATTTAAAAGTTGGCAGCTAACGCGCCGGTTAGAACAGGGCGCAAAGGGACGTGTCTAGTTTGGTGAGTTAGAAGGCACCGTGGTCGCTCAGCTTCTGCCTTTCTGGCACTTTAGGGCTTTGGCTCAAGGTCTTCTACTGCCCGAAAAGGACCTTTTGTCTCCTGCCAGCCTCCGGAGGCTCCCGGGAGCCAGCTTCACTCCTCACGGACACGTGCTGAATGAGCTAGTACCATGAAAGGAGAGGAGAAGGGAATTCCTGTAAGAGTGGCACTGCGTTGTCGGCCCCTGGTCTCAAAGGAGATTAGTGAGGGCTGCCAGACATGCCTTTCCTTCGTGCCTGGAGAGCCTCAGGTGGGTAATCATGGCTCTCTCCATGTTAGGGCTGAAAGGAGCGAGGGGCATGGTCTGTTTCTTTTGTTTTTTTTTTTTTGTTTTGTTTTGTTTTTTCCTTCCCCTTATGCCTTGCCTTCTTGACTTTTGCAGGTCGTGGTTGGTACTGATAAATCATTTACCTACGATTTTGTGTTTGACCCCTCTACTGAACAAGAAGAGGTCTTTAATACAGCAGTAGCTCCACTCATAAAAGACATTTTTAAAGGTGAGGTTGTTTGAGTCACTGGGCGTTTTTTGAGCATATATTATGTGTGGGTCATTTAGGCACTACAAATAGAGGAATGGATGAAACACTCTTGCTTAAAAAAAAAAAAAAGCCCACAGCCTAGTAATATTTGTGAAAGTCTTTATACCCTTGAAGCTAATTTCAGACTGTCCTGTTTATCTTTATCGGGGTTTTTTTTGTTTGTTTTTTGTTTTGTTTTGTTTTGTTTTGGCCAGGAAATATTTTATTGACAACCAAGGGCACAGCCATAAGAGAGGGAAGCACACAGGACTGCAAACTAAAACCCAGCAGCCAGCAAGGGCCATTTGAGCCAGGAACACTGCACCCTGGGAACTGAGCATCCGAGGGAGGGGTCAGTAGTTCTGGTATCCCAGAGAGTGAGAGAGGATATGTGATGCTTCATTATGAGCTACAGGGAGAGGAGGTAAAATGGAACCTAGGTTCATCATTGCTCGAGACCACCTCCTCCTCTAAGAGCCAATGCCAGGTGGAGGACAGAACCCCCTAGAATCTTGTAATTAGCTGCCTCTCATCATTCGTCTGCCACTGTAGATGAGCTGCTGCTGTTGTGGGGGAAATTCCCTATTTTTCTTGCATACGTTCCTTAATTCGCTTTAGCTTGTCTGTGGGTTCAGTGTCAATGTCAATCTCCTTTCCAGTCAGCTTCTTCACTTTAATTAGTTGCAGGCAGCTAGAGTGCTGATTCTCCTGCCGTGGTCGCTGCTGCCACTTCCCAGCACTCCCCCATTTTTTTAATTCTTAATTTTATTTTTTTCATAATTTATTCGTTATATATCCCGAATGAAGCCCCCTCCCTCAACACCCTCCAGCCCCACCTTACCTTTCTCGTTCCCCCCATTTTCTTCCCTTAGTTCACTGAAAGGGGGAGTTCTCCACTATTGCCATCTGCCCGTAGTTTGTCAAGTCTCATCAGGACTTCCTGCATCCTTTCCTCTGCGGCCTGGCAAGGCCATATCACCAGGAAGGAGTGATCAAAGAGCAGGCAACTGAGTTCATGATAGAGGCAGCCCCTGCTCCCCTCACTCAGAGATCCACATGGAGTCTGAGCTGCCAGTTGGCCTCATATGAGCAAGGGGTCTAGGTCTTCTCCCTGCATGGTCCTCCATTGGTACATCAGTCTCTGTGGGACCCCATGGGCTCAGATTCTTTAGCTTTGTTGGTCCCCTTGTGGGGCTTCTGTCCCCTCCATGTCTCTATCCCCACAGCTCTCTTCCATAAGACTTCCTGCGCTCTGCCTAAAGTTCGGCTATGAATCCCAGCATCTGCTTTGATCCCCTATTGGTTGGAGCCTTTGAGAGGACCCTCTATAGTAGACTCCCATCCTATTTCCTCTCTTCCACCGCTTCCGGTGTCTATCCTGTTTGCCATTCTGAATGAGATTTAAGCATCCTCTCTAGGAACCTTCTTGGTGTTCAGCTTCTATAGGTCTGTAGATGGCTGTCCTATATTACACAGCTAATACCTGCATGGTTATACACATGCAACACTACAGCTACCTCCAGTATCTGTTTACATTTTTTTTTTCTTTGACGGAGAAGTCACAGAATCAGAGATGGTTGCTACTGCATGCATATGGTGCACATAAACACACACAGGTACATACTCACAGATAAACTCATCACAAAATGGTTCAAGGAAAAAAATGAGTTCTTTATGCTATTCTTCCTGAACTAAAGTACTTTCGCTGTAAATAAATAAATAAATAAATAAATAAATAAATAAATAAATAAATACTAAATAAACAAACCAAAGACCTTAAGTCTGGCAGCACTCAGGGAGGCATAGATAGGTGGATCTCTGTGTTAGAGGCCAGTGTGGTCTATAGAGTGAGTTCCAGGACAGCTAGGACTACACAGAGATACCCTGTCTCAGGAAAACAAACAAGAACCTAAAAAAATGATGTCATGTCTCAGGGTACATCGAATATCTTTGTGTATGTGTAAAGTGTATACACATGTGTGTCCAGATGTCCTTGCCCATGCATGTCTAGTGTTTTCCTCTTGCTCTCCATCTTGTTTTTTAAGACAGGATCTCTCTCTTTCTTACTGAACCATTTCAGCTAGACTGACTAGCTGGCAAGTCCCCAGGATTCACCTGTGTTTACTCTCTCGGTGCTTGAGTTATACATATATAAGCTATCATGCCCAGTTTCTATGTGGATACCAGAGATATGAACTCAGGTTCTCATGCTTGCACAGCAAACAATTAACCCACTGGGGCCAGCTCCCCAGACCCAACCTTTATTTATTCATTTATTTTTTATTTTGTGTGAATTGTGTGAGCCAACTTGTCACATTGAACATGTGAAGATCAGAGAACAACTTGCAGGAGTCAGTTCTTCTACTATCTGGGTTCTAGGGGCCAAATGCAGGTTTGCCAGGCTTGGCCATAAGTACTGTCACCCACTAGGCCCACTTGTCAGTCCCTTTTTTTTTCTTTCTATGAGAGGGGGTCTCATAGTTGAAGTTGTCCCTGGAATTCACTAAATAACTAAGAGTGACTTTGAAGTTGGGGTCTTCCCAGTGTCAGGATTTCAGATGTGCAACATCACCCTTGATTTGGTTACTGCTGTGCTGGGCTACCACCCCAGTGCTTTGTGCCTGTTAGACAAACAGTCTACTAAGTGTGCTATAGTCCCAGACTAAATACCTTGTTTTAAAATTTGAAAACACTGCAGTTACAGAAATGTTGCAAGAAAAGCATAAAGAAGCCATTTTTTTTTCCTGGAATAATTGGTAATAAGTTGTTGGCCTTACACTTTACCATCCAGCTCCTAGAAGAGTCATCATAACAAGGCATAGCCATCAGAGTCACAGAGGTTGCATTGTCGTGTCACTGCCATAGAATCAATCCTCAGACCTATTCTAACGTTGTCAGTCGTTTCAGGAATACCCTTTATAGCAAAGGATTTAGTTCAAAAATCATGTTAAAATTAGCTCTTTAGGATTAAAGAGGGCCAAATACAAAGTAGTTCTTGAACCTTTTGTGTTTTTTTTTTTTTTTGGTGTTTTTTTTTTTTTTTGAGCTTTCTTTGTCTTGAAGATTACAGAGCACTTGTTTCTATGTTTCTGTTTGCTTTCATCTGATGTTATGATAAAATCTGAGCTGTTATGTTTTCTAGTGGAAACACCATGGTCATGACTCTGTATTCTCATTGATTCTTGTGAGGAAGTACATAGTTTTGATTTGTCCTGTTACTGTTGATGTTCATTTTGAAATCTGACTAAGGTATAATTCTACCGATCTCCTCACTGTGAAGTTAATTTTTTCTTGCTTTTTTGTATATCCAAAAAAAAGCATTATATAGTTCTGTCTAATCTCTTATAATCACTTTTCTCTTTGGCATGATTTTCATTCTCATCTAATTAACTATTTCCCCCCTCCACTTCTACCTCATCCTAATTCTAATAATTAAATTGTTCACCCTCTTTTTCCCCCTCCATCTCCTAACATGTCTCACTCCCTTTCCCCTTCAGTACCTGGCCTCTTTTTAACTGTTATTGTTACACACACACAGGCACTCACTCTCACACACATACTTTAATGGATCATATATAAATAGTATGCAAATGATTTCAGGGCTGACCACTTGGTATGGATAACCAATTAAGGACATCCCTGGGGGAGACTAATGAGATCCCTCTCCGTAGTCATGAATTGTCTGTAGTCATCTGTGTGAGAGTGGGCCCATGTGAAGTTTCTCCCTTCCATGTCTGTTGGTTTCTTCTTGGAGTCTTGTTCAGACAGCCATACTATTGAGGTATTGTGGGTGAAACCTTCCTGCCGTTTCTGGTGACACACAGCAGATTTCCTGGTCCTCTGGCTCTTAGCAATCTTTCTGCGTTCCCCGAGCCTAAGGCGCAGAAATTGTGTTGTATATGTAGCCATTGTGGGTGAGCACAGTATTATCAGGTATTCTCTGCATTTTTGGCCAGTTAATAGTTTTCTGTAATGGTCTCCATCTGTTCCAAAGAGAAGCTCCTTTGAAGAGTGAGAGCTACTCTTATCTGTGGGTAGAAGGATAAGTATTTAGAATGCAGTTAGGAACTATACTGGTGTAGTAAAGCAGCCGTAGCAGGTTCTCCTCTAAGATCCGTGACCTCACAATCCCCTCCAGTAGTTGGCTAGGCTTCTAATATCAGGCATGATTTCCTTCCTATTGAGGGGAGTTAGAGTTAGAAAGCAGTTGGTTACCACCAAAATATGAGTGTCATTATTGCACATATAGGGATATCTTGCGATGCTGGTCGTTTTTTGTGGTTCATAGCCTTCACAGCTGAGTGGGACTATTGGTCACTTTCCTCCTTTGGCAATTTGCATAGTACCTCCAGGTACTGGGAAAGCTATTTCTTAGGGAAAAGGTTTTCAGGTCAGATCCATCTCAGATCCTCCAAGTGCATTGTCCAAAGTACATGGATGCCTTCAACATTAGACACTTAACCTTCAGCGTCTGTAATATAATAGTAATAGTCTGTACTGTTTTGGTAATCTCTTGTCTTCCTGACCAACAACTTGAAAGGGGGTTTCTAAGAAGTACGGTTTTTGTTAGATAATCTATGGCTGTTGAAGAGAACATTGTCAACCCAAGTGGCATAAGTTCATTTAAACTATATGTGCGTATATTATACACACACGTATACATTTATATATGTTATATGTAATTTTATGTAAAGAAAAATAATATAATTCCAGTGGGTTTTTTTCAAACATTCTTAATATTATATGTCCCTCTACCCTCCCTCTCCTGTGTTTACCTTCATAGCCCCTCTGCAATTAGAGTCCCCCACCATTTTTTTTTCATTTTCCTTTCATATCATATATATTCTGCTATTTATTTTGAAAAAAGTCTCATTGAGTACATGCTGACTTTGAACTCACTATGTAATGCAATAGAGACTACTGTGAGCTATTAATTAATTCTTTTTAATTTTTTTTATTCACTTTACATCTTTGTTGTAGCCCCAACCCTCCTCCCCTCCCAGTCCCATCATCCCTTTCTCCACCAGCTCCCTTTTGTATCCACCCCAGCTCATCAAGTTGCATCAGGCCTGAGCATATCCTCTTCCTCTGTAGCCTGGCAAGGCAGTCTTGTCAGAGGAAAGTGATCACAAAGCTGGCAAGTGAGCCCATGTCCCATTCAGTGCCCACTTCCTTTATTAGAAGAGTCACATGAGGCCTAAGCTGCCTATCTGCTACATCTTTGTAAGGCCCCTAGGTCCAGTTCATGCATGGTCCTTGGTTGATGCTTCAGTCCCAGCAAGCCCCTCTGGGCCCTGGTTAGGTGGCCCTGTAGGTCTTTCTTGTGGAGGTTTTGTCACTTCCAGGTCCTTTTCTCTTTCCTCCCACTTTTCCACAAGACTCCCTAAGCAATGTTTGGGCGCAATGTTTGGCTGTGGGTCCCAGCATCTGTTTTGAGGTACTGCTAGGTAGAGTCTCTCAGAGGTCTCTGTCAGGCTCTTGTCTGCAAGCTTAACAGAATATCATTCACAGTTGGCATTCTCCCATAGGGCAGGTTTTTGTTTAGGCCAGGCATTGGTTGAACATTCATTTCTTCAATCTCTGCTCTATCTGCTCTGTCTTTATCCCTGTACCTTTTAGCCATATAGCACAAACATACTATGAGGCACAGATCCAAAGAAGATAATTAACAAGGAGGATCCAAGGGAGGATGCATAAATCTCACTCAGAAGGGGAGATAGAGTAGACAGAGGTAGTGGCTGAAAAGAGGGGACAAGGTAGGAGAGTGGGTACAAAGGGTTATGAGGGTGGAGATCAGACCTGGGGAGAGTGAGGGCGGGAGGACAAAAGGCCTATAGAGAAAAGAGAAACTGAGGGTAGGGTTATCTCTGTGGCAAACTGGAGACCTAAGTCAGGGTAGGCTTCTGGGAGGATTTAAGGGGGACTCAAGCAGAGACTCCTAGTAGCAGAGACCATAGCGCCTGAAGAGGGTACCTTCTAACTAGACTAGTCTTCTAGTAAAAGGTGAGGAACAATAACCCATCCCCAAGAGCTCTAAATTCTTTTGCCTCATTCTGAATGCTGAGCTTATAGGCCTGACCCACCATGCCCAGCTACCATCCCTGTTTTATTTATTTTATTTTTTATTTTGGTTTTTTGAGACAAGGTTTCTCTGTAGCCTTGGCTGTCCTGATCTCACTTTGTAGACCAGGCTGCCCTTGAACTTGCAGAGATCTGCCTGCCTTTGCCTCCCAAGCTCTGGAATTAAAGGTGTGCAGCACCAAGGCTGGGTCATCCCCATTTTCTTTTTTCTTTCTTTTTTTTTTTATTACTTTATATGCATTGATGTTTTCCCCACATGTATATCTGTGTGAGGGTGTCTGATTTTGGAGTTATAGACAATTGTGAGCTGCTATGTGGGCACTAGGATTTGAACCCAGGTCCTTTGGAAGAACAGTCAGTGCTCTTAACCACTGAGCCATCTTTCCAACCCCCCATCCCCATTTTCTTTAGCCATTTCTGAAATATATTTTTAGACTCTTGAGTATCTGGCTAGTTCTCTCAAATACACCTCTACAGCTTAGTAAAGGTGCTCATAGTTGTAGTTTTATATTCTTTTTATTTGTCTATTTTTTTTAGTTATTTTTCATTGTGTTGTCTGTCTCTTTGACTGCCTGCCTATCTACCCGCCTGCCTGCTTGCCTGCATTAGTATGTGTATATGAGTCCAGGTGCTCACAGAGGCTAGAGGTATCAGATACATCTGGAGCTGGTTGTAAGCCACCTGAAGTGGGTGCTTAGGAGTTGGACTCAGTTGTCTGGAAAAGCCATACATGGTCTTAACCACTGAGCCATCCCTCCAGCCTTTTTTATTCTTAACTTGGGGAATATGAGAATTAAACCATATTATTTGAAGATAATGGGAAGTACAAAGTGATTCTAATATACATGTGTTTGTTTAACACCATCCTTAGTTGCAAGAACAAATCTGTTCTTTTTTATATTCAGCTCAATGATACCCTCTTATACTCTGAATTCCTGGTACCAGAATCCTGAGTGTTTTAGACATAGTACAAAAACCTGTTTTCCCAGGGTGTTACAGCTTATACCTATCTGTGGCATTGTAGAAAGTTTTAAAATGCTATTTTCTTGCCCCACAGTTATATCAGATTATAACATCAATATATTATAACATTTCAACTTACAGGTTAAGAGTTTCATTTAGCCAGGTATGGTGGTGCTCTTCCTGTAGTCCCAGCACTCTGGGAGGCAGAAGCAGACAGATTTCTGTGAGTTTGAGGCCAGACTGATTTACAAAGTGAGTCTAGGACAGCCAAGGCTACACAGAGAATCCCTGTCTTGAATCTTTTTCCCCCCAAAAAAAAGGGGAGGGAAGAGTTTCATTTAGAGCAGGAAGGTCTCTTTTCTCTTCTGACAGGGACTGGCTTGCCTGGAACTGCTGTTTAGACCAGGCTAGCTTAAAACCTACAGAAATCTGCCTTCTTTTGCCCCACAAGTGCTGAGATTCAAGGTATTGAACTGCCACACCAACAAGTTCTTTTTAAAACTTCAGGGTTATCACTTAAATTAGCATGTTTTTTTCAAATTTTAAAGATTAAAAAAAATTATTTTTAGGTTTTAAAGGTTTTTTTTTGTTTGCTTGTTTTTCAAGACAGGGTTTCTCTGTGTAGCCTTGGCTGTCCTGGACTCGCTCTGTATACTAAGTTGCCCTCAAACTCACAGAGATCCGCCTGTCTCCATCTCCCTGGGATTACAGGTTTGTGCCACCACAATGGGCAAGATTCTTCTTTTCAGGCTCCCAGATAAATAGTAAATAATAGATGACAGCTTTGAAAAACTACAATGATTGTTTTAACGGTTGCCTTTATACTATAATTCTCTCATAAAGGATGGCTTTTTGAGGTATTTATTACATGTTGAAGTAAATTTGAATTTATAATTTCTTTAGCTCCTACTTTATAGTCCATTAGTGAGTTATCATAATTTAAGATGTAAATAACCCATCTATTGTCTAATTGTTTCTTTTAAAAGATATTGCTACAGTTATAGCTAAGATTACCTGTTGGTAGTTCCAATCAATATTCAAAACTTATAGGATAAAAGAAAATGCACAAGTAGGAATTGTATTCTCTGGCAAGATAAAATATAAAAATGGATGTAGAAAATAATACTTTATCTTGAACTAAGCTCAAATATATATATATGTATATGTATGTATCTAGCCTGTCTTTCTGCAAACATTACAGATTATATAGGCAACAATAAAAAACATTGCCACTATTCCACAGTGCATCTAATTTAATAATTTATAAAATATAAAAATAAAAAGCCAATTGTTTACCGTCCCATTAGTTACAGATAAGTATCACAATATGAGTTGATATCCTTTTAATTTTTTTTCCTGTATTTTTACTTACACTTAAATTACTTTTAACCTGCTTGTTTTCAGTTAATTATATTATGGACTTTATAAAATTTTTGCCCTGTTTTAGAGACAGAGTATCCCTATGTAACTCAATCTGGTCTTGAATTTTTTTGTTTTGTTTTGTTTTGTTTTGGACAGGGTCTGACTGTTTTACCCTGCTGTCCTGAAACTCACTAACACTCTGTAGGCTTGCCTGACCTCAAATTCACAGATATCCTCCTACCTCTCCCACCAGAGTGCTGGGATTAAAGATGTGTTTCTACCATATCCAGTTTAGTCTTGAACTCGTGAAAGTTCTGGCATTGGCAAGAAAGCTCTACCAGCCCTCATTATGGGCATCTATGAATGGATTATTCTTTACTAGTACTCCATAAGAGCAATATATGTCACATTGAGTCATACTTAAATGCTGTGTTTGTGAGGAGCATGACAATTTGGTCTATGTATCTTCAGATAGTTCAGATAAGGACTTTTCATCAATTGTAAAAACAATGTTGCTGCTTTTCAAAATCTCTTCCCATCCTAACTCCTTTCTTTTTTTTTTTCCTTTGTTTTTTTTCTTTGAGACAGGGTTTCTCTGTGTAACCTTGGCTGTCTTTGTAGACCAGGCTGGCCTTGAAATCACAGCAGTCTGCCTGCCTCTGCCTCCCTGAGTGCATACTTTTTATTTTATATGTTTAGCTGTTTTGCCTTCATGTAGTCTGTGTACTATGCTCACAGAAGCTAGAAGAAGGCATGAGATGCCCTGAAACTGGAGTTACAGATGACTGTGAGCTGCCACGTGGGCCTGGGTGCTCTGGAAGAGCAGTCAGTGCTCTGACCAGTGAGCTGTCTCTCCAACTCCAATCCCAACTCTTAATTCTTTTGTCTCTTCTACCTGAATTCTGGGATGTAGGTATGTGCTTTCATATCTGGCAAAACTTTTATAAAAAAAAATACATACCAGAATCATTTTTCCCCACTGTGGCTGCTAAGACGTTTTTGTTTTTGTCTTTCAAGACAGAGTTTCTCTCTGTAGTCCTGGCTGTCTTGTAACTCACTCTGTGGATCATACTGGCCTCACACTCAGAGATCCGCCTGCCTCTGACTCCTCTGTGTTGGGATTAAAAGGTTCCACCACTGCCTGGCTGAGACTTATATTTACTTTCTATAATTTAGAATTATTCCACACAGAGAAGTATAAATCCTCAAGTATAAATCTTTGAAAAGGCTTTTTACCATGATGTAGCTGCCTTTATTATCGTACTTAACATCTCTATTTGACTTCCTAGCTCTTAGGGCTTTCAAAAGGTGGCACAGTCAGAGGTCTGTATTTTTCTTTGTTTTTCTTGAGGAATGCAAAAATCACAGAACACACCAAACTTTTCTTGTATCTACTATTAAAAGATTCTGTCTTAAGAAAGTAACCTCAATTTTGTTACAAGTAATGGCTGAAGGAATTGTACTATGTTAACTGGATGAACTGTTTTGAGTACCACTGTCCATATGGCTTCTATCTTGCCAGGATATAATGCAACTGTCCTGGCCTATGGACAGACCGGATCTGGAAAAACCTATTCAATGGGAGGTGCATACAGTGCTGAGCAAGAACATGAATCAACTATTGGGGTCATTCCCAGGGTAATACAACTTCTCTTCAAAGAAATTAATAAAAAGAATGACTTCACATTTAGTCTGAAAGTGTCTTACTTGGAGGTAAGTGATTTCTCTCCAGTTATTCTGAATGCAAGATTATCTTTGAGTACGAAAATACATCCAAATGAGATTTTTCCTGGCATGACTCAAATTAGTAAATTGAATTTTTTAGTAAATTGCATTTTAATAAGTTGGTAACAAAAACTTACTTGCTCAGTTGGATCTGGATTCTATCCAGTTCTTTTCTTAATTAGAATTATCTACTTAATCTGATTGTTAGAAGAATTGGCACTGCCATGAAAAAATATGATAGGAATTCTTTCATTTTAGTTGGGCCTGTATCACTGATTCCCTGTGGAGTCAGTAGAAAAGTGCTCCATTTCACTCTACTGCTAAGACTTGAATTATAATACTGCGACTGCTGCTTCATGAAGAATTGTATGCTGTGCAAGTGGTGATAAAATATGTATTTACTCAGCAGTTACTTACTGAGCATCTACAATGTGCCAGAACCTTATCTGGGTACTTAGATCATGTGTTTGGGAGATATCAGTGGACTAACATTTTAAACACCTTGTCCTGATAGGAACTTGCATTCTAGTGTACATCAGTATAAAATTGATGCATATTTAGAGAATTTGGCTTCTGAGAAGCTATTAGTTCTACTATAGTGAAATAGATGAGGAACAATAATTAAACTTATAAAATGTATGCATGTAATTATAAATTGTATGTAAATAGTTCATCCTGATGTTGCAATATAAGTTAAAAGATATAATTAGAAGGGGAGTTAAAATGATGACATTATCCTTTATTTTTTTTTTAAGATATGTTTTATTTTAAATTCTGTGTTTGTATGTATGTGGGTATGCGCACGTGAGTCTGATTCCTGAGGAATCCAGAGGCATAAGATCCCTTAGAGCTGGGGTTAAGGCAGTTGTGAGCTGCCTGACATAGGTGCTGGGAACCAAACTTGAGTCCCCTATGACAACAGTGCACTCTTAACCACTGAACCATCTTTCCAACCCCAGCCTGATTAGCCTTCTTGAGTACTGATTAATACAGCCTTGGTCAAGGTAATTGAATATACAAATGATTTGAGAAACTAGCGTGTTAAATATTGGCATCAGTAATAACAGTAAATAAGTGTAGTACTTATCCTGTATGAAACATTCTCTTAGTTTTACTCTTCTATTGAAGTATTAGTTACAGCCCTTCTTTTTCTTTGCTCCCAACTTTTCACCCTCCCTTCCCATAAGCAGCAGCTACTCACATTTTAACTGGTTGAATTGGTGAAAGTGATGCTGTTAGGGTATCATCAAGGAACGGAATTTGGGGACTGCTGAGATGTTTCAGTTAAGAATGCATGCTGTTCTTGGGAAGTACCCAGGTTCGGTTCTCCCAGCTCTAAGGGATCAGATGCTCCTGGCCTCCACAGGCACCTGCATTCATGTGCACATACCCACATATATACAGACATATACATATTAAATAAACAACGCAAATAAATCTCCTTTAAAAACTAGAACTCTCCTTTTCCTCTCCCACTCCTCGCTCCCCCTCTCTCTTCTCTGCCTCTCCTTCTCTTCCCTCTCCCTTCCCCTTTCCCTCTCCTTCTCTTCTCCTCCCTTCCTCTCCCCTTCCCTCCCTTTCACCTCTTCTCTCCAATTCACCTCTCCTCTCCTTTGTTTTCCCTTTACTTCTTTTGTTTGCAGTGCTAAGGATTAACCTCAAGGCCTTGTGAATGATAAAACAAGGCAAGAGTTCTACCTCATGTCTATTATATTCTTTAAAATTTCTGGAAGTGGTACAAATATGCATATATAGTATATATATAGTATTTTTAAAATTGCTTATGATCTTACAACCCACACAGAGATGACCACTATTAACACATTTTACCACTTTTTTCCAACAATGTCAGATATATAATGAAGAAGTTTTGGATCTTCTATGTCTGTCTCGTGAGAAAGCTTCTCAAATAAATATCCGGGAGGATCCTAAGGAAGGCATAAAGGTGTGTTTTTCCTTTTTTTTTTTTTTTATTGATGTTATTGCAAATATGGGTAACTACTAATGGTCATGTACCTTTTTTTGCCACTGTGGAATTGAATGATTGCTAATATCTCAGTCTTTTGGGTTTGCTTTGGCCTTAATTTCTTTAGTTAATGTACAATTATTAGGTGAAGGTTCTCATGGAAGAAAATTCAGCTTTATCACTTTCTTGTTACTTCTTGAAGGATGTAACAACAACTAAACATTAATTGTTTACAGGATTCTGAGACTCTCTAGTATGGTAGCCACTTGCTACAAGAAGGCGTTTAAATTGCAGTTAATTAAAATTGAACAAGCAATTCGTGAGGCACAGTACCATATAGCAAGCGCTTCTGACTACTTTGTTGTCTAGCACAGATATATGAGTTAGCCATGATTTTAGAAAATTCTACCAGACATCACCAACAGACACAATACTGGGCTCAGAAATTATATAAAATAGAAAATTAAATACAACTATTTAAACTGTATAACACCATAGGGAGATTATCAGTTATCCGAGAGCTTTAGTCACATGGTCTAGTAGTACAGATTTGGGGAAATGGAGCAATCATAGCATATCTTCTCCTTCCCCTCTTTCTCTTCTCAAAGGACAGAGAGTGACTATTTGGGGTGCAGGCAAAGAGTATATATATATGCCTATTCTGAGACTTTTTTTTTCCTTCAGGAGCCTTAAGCTGTTATCCAGCTGTTAAAACCAGACTTGAACTATTAGGGCTTGTAAGCCTTAAGTATACAGGAAGATAATTAGGACAGTGAAGATAAGACACTTGGGCAAGCTGGATATGGTGGTACATGCCTATAATCCCAACACTCAGGGAGGCAGAGGCCAGACTGCTCCATAAAGGGAGTCTAGGACAGCCAAGGCTACACAGAGAAACCGTGTCTCGGAAAGAGGAAGAAGAAGAAACAAAATATATGCTATCACCAAGAGGAGTGTGGATGCTGAACTGCCTCTTGACCATGTCTTAAGATCTTTTCTATGCCCTACATAAAGGCAGGAATTAAATCTCAGGCATTGATTGAAGCAAGATGGTGTGTTTCAAAAAAGTGTATTCTTGACACAAACTGGGGTATGAACAAGTCGTGGGTTTTTTTATGGTTTTTCTGTGTGTAGCTTTTCTGTGTGTGAAGCCTCAAAGTCATTCTATAGACCAGGCCGGCATTAAACTGTGCTGGGATTAAAGGCATGCACCACAAACCCTTGACAAGAACATGTTTTTAAACATTTTTAAGATAGCATTTAAGAAACAAAAACAGGTCTGTTGAGATGGTTCAGCAGCTGAAAATTCAGCTTGATAACTACATTTGATCCCCGTATACCACAAGATGGAAGTAGAGAACTGACTCGTATACCACAAGATGGGAGTAGAGAACTGACTCCTGCTAGTTGTCCTCTGACCTCTACACAAGTACTTTGGCAGACGTATTGCTGTAACAGCTGTGTGTGTGTACACATACACTTACACAATAAGTGAACTGTAAAAAAGAAAGACTTTATAGTAAGGAGTAACTATAGCAGGAAATTAAAATAAGCTTAGCCCTGTCTGCCTGGGTAAAAGACTTGGGCTGGGAAGTAAACGGAGATGTGTTAGGAAAAGATTATGAAGCCAACCTAAGCAGCTTAGTTTCTCCCTACCCTTGGGCCCCACCAACAGTATAATTATGTAAGACTTGTGAAGGAAACGTTGCCCTGGGTACCTATACTGGGGTTTTAATCTTACATGTGTATCTCTCCAACTTGGTTCTCCTAGAACTTCAGAGAGGATTTTTTTTTGTACCCTCGTCAGAGGGATCTTTGTGACCTCACCATCTAGTATAGGTATTAGTGGAGTGGTTCACTGGCATTTTAGGAAGGCAGACTGGAAATGAATTAAAAGGAAGAAACTCTAAGCTGATGAAGATGCAGTTGGGGAAATCATTGCCTTGTTTTTTCCACACAAGGTAATATTGGTGTGGATGTGGTCTAAGAAAAAGAGGAAGTAAGCAACTCCCAAGAATATCTGAGTTAGTGATATATGGGCTGTGGAGGAGTGGGAGGGGGAACTGACAGTGATTTGAAGTTGGGTGACCATGAGGATAGAGCTGTTGATATAAATGGAGAGTAAGGAGAGTTGATATTGGCAGAAGCAAGATGAATTTGGTTTGTATGTACTGATTCCAAAGGATAAGTAGTCAGCAGCTAGAAATAGAGGAAGAGAAATTACAAGTCACAGATACAGATCTACGGATACAATCATAGCATATTAAGGCTAACAGGACCCGCATGAAAACTCTACTCCTATCTCCTTCACCCCAAAATTCCAAGACAGTGACTTGTTTAAGTTCTCCCAGGTAAAGTACTGTGCCTAAAACTTGATATTTTTGGCTTCCTAAGTCAGTGAAAACTGCCATGCTGTTTCCTCTAGAAGAAAATGGAGTTTAAAATGAATTGGCGGTACAGGAAGGAAAAGGAACAAAGTGAAATGCCTTAGAAATTTGTGTTGTACTTGATCTCTTTGTGGGCAAATTTGACTTTCATTTGAGACTCCCTAGAAACCAGCTACTATCCAAGACCTAGAGACCTTGTCTAACTCCTCTATTATCTATTACTCCTTTTTCTCAACTTTGTAGGGATGATTGGAGACCGTGGTTCTCAGACATCATCATAGAGTGCCTAGTTTAAAAGTTCTTTTCACAGCCCTTGTAGATATTGATATTTTCCTGGAATAGGAAGGCATTTTTCACCACTAATCCTTGTATTTCTAATTTCCTTTCTCTAATCCCTAATTTGAAGTATTAGAAGAGTGACTCAAGGAAGCTTTTTTTTTTCTCTTGAAATTAGATTGTGGGTCTCACAGAGAAGACAGTGCTAGTTGCTGCAGACCTTGTTTCGTGTCTAGAGCAGGGTAACAACTCCAGGAGTGTGGCCTCTACAGCTATGAACTCCCAGTCATCTCGATCTCATGCTATCTTTACGATCTCCATAGAACAAAGGAAGAAAAATGACAAGTAAGTTAGAGCGTCACAATTGTCATGTTCTGGGAAGGCTGAATGCCAGGCGGCTGCTTCGGTTGATTTGACATTCAGATATGAGCATGATGAGTGTTAATAATCACTGGGAATACTGTCTTGAAAGAAATGAGAACTGGCCAATCAACTCTGATAACTCAACTACAAGCTTGTGTATTGTTTTCACCATGTCTTCCTGTTGTCATTACAGAAATAATAGCTTTCGCTCTAAGCTACATCTTGTAGACCTTGCTGGGTCTGAAAGACAAAAAAAAACCAAGGCTGAAGGGGATCGTCTGAGAGAAGGTGAGACAATTGAGGTCATAGTTCTCGGTGAAAACTTGCAATGCTTTTGGTGGTATTGTTGGTATTTTGGTATAGTTGGTATTCTTAGTAATATCTATAGTTCAAATTTGAGATTACTTTCAGAAAGAGTGAAAAATGCTTCTTTTCCCTTGCACTAATTCACAAATTCAGTTGTGAAATTTAAATTTCTCCCTTGGTTGGATTCCATCTGGTCCAGTAAATTTTAGTCTTAATTTACCTCCACCCACTTATAATCAAAATATTCCAGTTCTTTTGGTCCAAGTGCCTACTGTCCCTTGCAGACGTTGCCATGTGTAAATCTTATCAGTGTGGTTTCCACATCCTTGGTTCAAACTGCTTGTTAGAGAAGTGTTAACGCTGATGCTATTGGAAACCATCTAGCATGACTATTATCTAGTGATATGCATGAACTATTTCTTTGGCATCCAGCTTTTTCTTTCTGAATGAGTTTATATGTGCCTTTCTTGTTTGTTTTTTTTTTTTGTTGTTGTTGTTGTTGTTTATTTTTGGAAGCAGATTAAATTTTTTGTTTTAATTTTTACTAATTACACTTTATTCACTTTGTATCCCTCCTATGGCTCCCCTTCTCCTCCCCTCCTAATCCCACCCTCCCCAAGTCCACTGATAGGGGAGGTCTTCCTCCCCTTTCTTCTGAGCCTTGTCTATCAGGTTTTGTCAGGATTGGATGCATTGTCTTTCTCTGTGGCCTGGTAAGGCTGCTCCCCCCTCAGGGGGAGGTGATCAAAGAGCAGGTCAATCAGTTCATGTTAGAGACAGTCCCTGTTTCCATTACTATGGAAACGCACTTGGACACTGAGCTGCTCTGGCTACATCTGTGTAGGAGTTCTATGTTATCTCTATGAATGGTCCTTGGTTGGAGTATCAGTCTCAGAAAAGACCCCTGTGCCCAAATTTTTGGTTCTTTTGCTCTCCTTGTGGAGCTCGTGTCCTCTCCAGGTCTTACTATTTCCCCCTTCTTTCATAAGATTCCCTGCACTCTGCCCAAAGGTTGGCCATAAGTCTCAGCATCTGCTTTGATACCCTGCAGGGTAGAGCCTTTCAGAGGCCCTCTGTGGCAGGCTCCTATCCTGTTCCTGTTTTCTCCCTTTTCTGATGTCCATTCTCTTTGCCTTTCTGAATGGGGATTGAACATCTTAGCCAGAATCCTCCTTCTTGGTTAGTTTCTTTAGGTGTACAGATTTTAGTATGTTTATCCTATCTTATATGTCTAATATCCACTTATGAGTGAGTATATACCCTGTTTGTCTTTCTGCTTCTGGGATAGCTCACTCAGGATGATCTTTTCCAGTTCCCACCATTTAGCTGCAAATTTCATGATTTCCTTGTTTTTTATTGCTGAGTAATATTCCATTGTGTAGATGTATCACAATTTCTGTATCCATTCCTCAACTGAGGGGCACCTGGGTTGTTTCTAGCTTCTGGCTATTACAAATAAAGCTGTTACAAACATGGTTGAGCAAATGTCCTTATTGTATACTTGAGCATATTTTGGATATATGTCTAGGAGTGGTATAGCTGGATCTTGAGGAAGCGCTATTCCTAATTGTCTGAGAAAGTGCCAGATTGATTTCCAGAGTGGTTGTACAAGTTTACATTCCCACCAGCAGTGGAGGAGGGTTCCCCTTTCTCCACATCCTCTCCAGCATGTGTTGTCACTTGACTTTTTGATCTTAGCCATTCTGATGGGTATAAGGTGAAATCTCAGGGTCATTTTGCTTTGTATTTCCCTGTTGCACTTTGAGCTTTAGCCTTCTTAATATAATTTTGAAGGCTTTTACCTTCCTTTTCTTTTTTCTTTTTTGATTTATATATTTTTTTTCAAATTTTGTTTATTTATTTATTAAAATTTATTAACTTTGTAACCCCACTGCAGTCCCTTCCCTTGTCTCCTCTCACTTCTACCCACCCTCCATTTGACGAAAAAAGAAAAGAAGAGCCACCATTTTTTAGGTGTTTACTTCTGAGTATTTTAAGGAGTGGAAGATTTACATAATTGAAATGTAACTCACATACTATATTTAAAACTGTACATGTCAGTGGACTTCAGAGTTGTGCAGGCATCACAGCCCCATCTCAGAATATTTTATTACCATAAATAGAAGTACTATAACCCATATAATACCCATCCCCCATTCCTGTCTCTCTCTAGAGGAATTATATAACCTTTGGTGACTGACGTGTTTCACTTATCATGAGATTTGCAAGGTAAACTCACGTAGCATGTTAACTAGTACTTCATTGTTTTTTTTTTTTCTTTTCTTTTTTGAGACAGGGTTTTGTAGCAAGAGATCCGCCTGCCTCTGCCTACCAAGTACTGGGATTAAAGGCTTGTACCGTTGTACCCGGTTTACTTTATTCTTTTTTATTGCTGAGTAATATTCAGTTGTGTAGCTATACCGCATTTTCCCCTTCACCAATTTTCCAGTGTTGGCTCTTGTAAATATCAGTCTCTGAGTCTCTTGTATAAAGTTTTCACAGAGACAAACCATTTTGTTTTGTTTTGAGAAAGGGTCTTTCTATTTCTGACTTACCTGAAATTCAATATGTAGGCTAGACTGAGGTCTCATAGGGATCCACCTGTTTCCGCATCTTGAGTGCTGGAATTCAATGTGTGCACTAGCACACCTGACCTCAGACAAACTTTTAAATATATCTTTAGAATATACATAGAAGTGAAATTGCTAGGTTATTTATTAACTCTGCTTTTACTTTCTTTTTTGTAAAGTTCTAAGTTTCAAGCCCTATAATTCAATCCTGAGTTACAGCTCCAGCTCTTTGTTGACTATTTCTCAAAGCATATAATTCATCAACATAACTCATTCATGTTGTAGCATATATAAATGCTTCATTCCTTTTTATGGAAAATTAAATTTCATTTTATGGAAATAACATTTTTTATTGATGCATTCTTCCCTTGACGGATGTTTGATTGGTTTCTAGTTTTTGTTTGTCTTTGTTTGGTTGTGATGACTATCTACAGGGTCTTGTCATTTGTGAAGAGAGAATTTTACTTCTTTCCAATCTGGGTGCTTTTATTTCTTAACTTTTTTTTCTTCCCTGTCTACTTGTCTTTGTAGAAGAAGGTTCAGTACATTATTTGATAGAAGTAGGAAGTGTGAATATTGTTATGTTCTTGATCTTGAGAGAAAAAAGTAACAGGTTTTTTACATTAGGTGTATGTTTGCTGTGCATTTTTCATAGACACCTTCGCCCATGTTGAGGAAGCACTCTCTCCTCATTGCTTTTTATCATATATGGGTATTTTCAAATGCTTTTCATCCTGTTGACATAGTGACATCATTTTGTGCTTTTATATCTTCCTTGTTTTTGTTGTTGGTTGTTTGTTTTCAGTCCTATTACTTTTGTGAGCTGGTTATGTGTAGTTTGTATTCACTCGCGTTTGCCATCCCAGAAATTTCTGCTTACTTAGTTTAGTGATGGGCTTATGATTAGTCACACATTTGCTTAAATTCTTGGACTTAGAAATCTTCCATTGTTTTCCAAGGGCTTTGTGGATGTAGAGAAGTATACCTTCCTCACTCAGGCACTTTACAACTCTGCTTTAGCATTTATTCATTCCTTGAGCAAATCTCAAATCTTTTATTTTAATTATTTTTTTTATTTTTTATATTAGTTAGTTTATTAACTTTGTATCCTAGCTGTAGCCCCCTCCCTTCTTTCCTCTCAATCCTACCCTCCCTCCCTCATTTCCTCTCTGCCTTTTTTTAAAAAAATATTTTTAAATGTTTATTTTTTTAAGCTTTATTTATTATATATACAATGTTCTGCCTGCATTCATTCCTGCACTACAGAAGAAGGCACCAGATCTCATTACAGATGGTTGTGAGCCACTATGTGGTTGCTGGGAATCAAACTCGGGATCTCGGGAAGAGCAGCCAGTGTTCTTAACCTCTGAGCCATCTCTCCAGCCCCCTCAAATCTTATATATGTTTTCCTCCAATTATTTTGCCTTTCTTTGAATATTTAGAATTGGCTACTGGTGGAGTGATTTTTTTCCTCTCTTTTTTAGATTTATTGAGTTTACAAATAAACGTCATATATGTTCAAGATAGTGCATTGTTTTGGTAATATGAATTTGTTGTGAAATAATTAGCTCAGTCAAGCCAATTAGTATATATGTCTCTTCACAGTTGGTTTAATCATGGTTCTATTGCTTTGAAGAGACGCCATAAGCAAGGCAACTCTTATAAAATAAAGCATTTAATTGGGGGCTTGTTTATAGTTTCAAAAACTTGGTCCATTATCAGTATGGCAGGAAGCATGGTAGCAGGCAGGTATGGTGCTAGAGAAGTAGCTGAGTTCCCCATCCTTATCCACAAGCAGAAAAAGACTGACTGACTCTGAGAGACTGGGCTTGGCATGGACTATTGAGACCCTAAAGCCTACTGCCATTGACACACTTCCTCCAAAACAGCCACACTTCTAATCCATTCAAATATAAGAGATGATTAAAAAGAATAGCGAAGTAAAAAATGAGACTGAAGCAAAAGGATTATAAGTTCTAGGCTAGACTGGTCCCATAGCAAGACTTTTAAGACTAGGGGTGGGTAGAGAGTGGTCTCAGCAGATTATAGAGAATTTGCTGCACAATCATGAGGATCACAGTTTGGATCTCAGCACTCTTGAAACAAACCAGACATCTTGCTAGTACCTGCAGTTCAAGAAGGGATAGAGACAGGAGTGCCATTGTAGCTTGCAGACTCCCAGCCTGGTCGAGAAAGCGTGAGTCCCAGGTTCAGAAGAGATCTGCTTCCAAAGAATAGGCACAAAATGATAGATGAAGACACCTGATGCCCTTTTCTGGCCTCCATATCACACATGCACATATATCCAGATGCACACACATAAATAAATGAATCATTTTTAAAAAAGGCAGATTTTAGTTATTTTATCCAAAGAACATAGTTGTGCCACATGTAGCAAAATGAAACCAAGTG